TTTTGTCTGAAGTGGCAACTATCCCAGGTTGCCCGGAGATATCCGATAGCCTTCGGCTATCTATCCCCAGGGTGGGAAGGGTGGGTACTTCAAAATTACCCCCCCCCTGTAGGGGGACTTTATCCAGAATGGCAACGGTCACAGGCATCCGTAGCCATCCCAAGTCACAGCTATCCTGTCTTCGCATGTCAGAGGCAACTCTCCTGCGTGCGACGATAGCACACGAAACTTCGTTTCTAGCGAAGCTACCTTCAATAGCTTCGAGTGGAAATAGGTTAGCTAGCACACATAGTCGTAACTCGTCCCTCGTCACGAGGTACGTGCACTAGCTCCTATATCCCGCCACCATCCCCAGTAGCACCACCGGGACGACAGTAGTAACGAGTAGTAGTTAGCTTGCGAGCTAGCCGAGCGACAACCAAAACGGAACAGCACACTCAGCTAGCACGGACGCACTTTTGTCTGAAGTGGCAACTATCCCAGGTTGCCTGGAGATATCCGATAGCCTTCGGCTATCTATCCCCACGCATCGCCACTCAGGCTACCAGGGATCTAGCTTCCTGGCCTTTCGGCTGAACTTCGACACCCTATCCGGGGTCCCTCGCTTCCGCGTGCCTAGCTCCTTGTAGAAGCTATCTGCATGGGCGAGTAGCCGGCCCAGGACACGCCACTGGAATTCCTCCCCCTTCAGGTCTATCCTCTGAGCGGGGTCGAACTCCTTGAATCATCCGCTAGCTGGTTGATGTCCCTACGTATCCACTGGAGCTGTAGCTCACAGTTCTTCTGGGATAGCTCTTCGGCCACCTTCATTAAAATTAGCATAGAGGGATACTTGGTTGACTTGGTTGTCATAGCCTTCTTCACAAGTGCCTCTTTTTTTGCTTGTTGAGTGCTCGCGCCGCCTGTGTAGTCACAAACGACGTGTCAGAGGTCTCAAGCAGGGACGAGAGCAACTGTACTGCTTCACAAGTGCCTCATTGGACTTGTTATCCGTATATCCACGGATGGCAACTCGCGAGGTCTTCCTATCCTCGCCCTCGCAGACCCAGAGACGTATCCCCACGAGGGTCGCTAGCAATTCTAGCGCAGCTATCACTTTCTTGGGATCGCCTTTAGAAAATGCCCAAGGAGCCCAGGCCTTATCCACTTCCAGTGAAAACCAGGGTCCTGGCTTCAGCCCCCTATCCAGGCCCTATCGGACTCAGCCTTAGCGTCTGTGAAAAAGCTAGGGTCGCAGGACGTTGTAGCCTCTCCCCCTGGTCGAGCTTGTCGGCTAGCCACCGCATCAGGACTCGTAGCATCGTCGGGATAATGAGGTATCCCGTCTTCCCCTAGATAGCCGCGCTCCAAGCATGGAGTGGCCCCAGGAAGGGCCTCTGCCAGTCCAGGGCGATGGCGGCAAACCCTAGCCTCCCAAGCCCTTGCTGCATCCACCTTGTCGTTTGGCCAGGTCGCCCGCTTCTTCGACATCCCTATAGCCTGTAGGAGGAGTACTCCGTCTCCATTCCCAGCCACTCCACTCTAAAGCCACCACGAGTCTTCGCCCACTTGAAGGGATATCCCAGGACCGAAAGGAGGAGGTAGCTCAGAGAAATCCCCTTCCTCCCCTCGGTCCCTATCCCCAGGGCCTCGAGGTAAAGTCCGAAGGTGCCCACCTTGTTGACGTAGACAATCTGGCTATCCGGGTCGCCGGGAATCGTCTCCTCGGTGTCTATCTGGCAGCCCATGAAGCCGTGCTCACTAGCCTGGTGTTTGTATCTCCGATGGGCCTTTGAGATATCCCCCACAACCGAGAAGGCAATCTCGCCACAGCGAATCAGCTCGCGGAGGATCTGCTTCTTTTCCCTAGCCCCTGGAGCTCGGATCTTATCTCGACAGCGTATCCGGTGGTTCACCCTGACGCCGTGGGTCGCGTCGTGGATTATCCTCTTCTTATCCTTCTCCTCGTCCTCGACATCACGGCCAGGGCGGCGATCGCCCTGTGCTCGCCAAACCTCGCCTTGAACTCGCCGAGGGTCATCTTCTCCATGGGGCCTTCCTCCACGTCCTCGTCGAACTTAGCCCGCACGAAATCCCGGTGGTCGCCCACGGAGTAGTTCGGCACCCATGCTAGCGCCGGTTCCCACGGAGCATTGTCTAGCCGCCAGGAGGTCTGCTCCTCGAACACATGTGGAGTTCTAGGTAGCCCTTCCAGTATCCCCAAAGGCAGGCCCTCCTCGGCCCGACGCAGGAAGTCTCTATCCGGGTCGGCCGCCGCCTCGAGGATCGCCCGCAGCAGCCGTAGCCGTAGAGGTTGTCCAGGCGGATCTTCTAGCAGGTTGGGCTCGCTGAGGTCCTGGCCTTCTATCCAGCTCTGAAGGAGTTGCAGAAGCTCTTCGTGCAGCCGGTTATCCCGGACCAGTATAGCCATACGGAAGGCCTTTTTCTAGCTCATTTTCGGAACCCGCGCCTTCAGCATGTCCCCGAGAGTGCCGGGGCCATCGCCCAGGAGAACATAGCCCACCACTTTTATCCCGTCGTTCTGGTGGCATCGCCGTGGGGGGCCCTGGCCGCCCTGTAGCCGCGGTCCCTCTGGATGGTTGGTGATGTAGCCGAGCTCCTCCTGAACCGCTGTATCTTGCACTGGTGGCTCCCCCGATCCGGAGGCAGTCGAAGCAGTAGTGCAGGTCGCCAAGGCAAGCTGTGCCAGCCAGTGGGAAAAGTCCGAGGGCCACTCGCCGAGGGAGGATGTAGCCAGCATGCGCTGGCTCGCCGCCGACGTGGTCGTATCCAACAGAGGCAGGGGGCCCGTGTAGTAGCCCGAGTCGTCGTAGGTTGGCAGGCCTTTGCGCAGAGTAGCCGGGAGGTCACGGTTTGTCTTGAGGAGCAGCCTGGTCGGCTTCGTCGAGGTTGCTCCGAAGCTCTCCAAGTGCAGGCTGACTGAGCGTAGCCCTTGTTTGGCTAGCGCAGCATGGTCCCATCCTTCTCATTCAAGCCCCGCCGCCCAAGCATGCTGGACCTTCGTCGAAACTGAGCTGAACTCATGTGGTAATGCTTCACATGCAACTTGTAAAGCTCAACATCATTGCTCAACTTTTCCAACATGCACTGATACTGCGGAGAGAGGCCCTTGAGACCTCCTGGCTTGGCAATGGAAGCGCGATCCTCCTAGGTTCTTGCGAGCTCTCGGAGGGAGCAAATCAGATTCCTCAGGATCTGACAGCGCGTATTCTTGAAGATCCGGATCATCTTCAGGAGCCATAAGAGGAGCTGCGTCCTTGGGTGCCGGTCCCTGTGGACCGCTTCCCTCGGTGCTAACTCTCCTTTGCTCCGGTTCCTTTCATTGAGGAAAGCTTCCTCATGCCTCTGGTTTCTTTGAGCTGTCTTCAGGCTTGCCCTTGCTAATCATGTCCACGAGCGGGATCTCGGGACTTAGCTGGTACCGAGGTCCTACTCTCGACACCTCCAGGCAAAATATTGAAGATTGTCCTACCATTCCAAGAATCAGTTGTCCTCGTGGTAGAACGCTCAGTAGAACGCCAAACATCTTCTTGAGTCACACTCTTGCCCTTGGAGAACTCCATAATCGTCTTGCGCTTGTTGTCCAGGTACTCCAACGGAATGGGCACAAATCCATCTTTGGGTTCGTACTTGACCTTCTGCATCTGCTTGTGGATTGGAATCATCTCCATGTCGGGTTCGTTGATGACCCACTCGCGCCCATGTCGGGCGGACACTTCATTCACGCAACGCTGTAAGAGGACTGCAAAGGCACGTGGCACTGTCTCGGTAGCAATGGTGCCGAGGTAGAACAAGCCAGGGAGGGCAGCCAGCAGTATGCCAGCCCCCTCCAAGACGCCAGAAACTTCGGACACGGACGTCTCAAATGGGAGATGTGGGCTGGTAGCCTGCCGATGATGGGGCGAGAGAAGGGCGTCGTAGACATGCCTGAGGGGTTGAGCCGGACCCCTGATGGGGCCGCAGCCGGTAGGCGGTAAGGCTCGATGAAGTACCCAATTCGAGAACCGCAGCCACAGGGTTGGCCGTATCATCCGTCGCCAGCACGAGATTCTTTGGCACCTCTTCCTGTGAAGAGCTTCCCTGGGTCTTCTGATGGAACCCGTACTCGTAGTGGGAGAAGTGATGAAGCTCGACTTCTTGTGTTTGTCGAAGCGAACGTTCCACATCAACTTACTGAGATCGAGAAGATCAAGTACTAGATGCGAGCTAGGAGCAACCCTAAGCTTCACGTTCCGAATACCCAGTATAGGACTGCTAAGCAATGCCTTGTCCGGATGGAGCTCGAACTGGAACCTGAGGTTGTGCACCTGTGGCAAGGACATGAGAATAGGAACATGCCCTTGCTCCACAATGTCGAACTCTGTCGATTGAACTGCATACTCCCGGTCGTACTTGCAAATGACCAACTTCTGGTTGCACTTGGTCGACTCGGAGTTGGCAAAGGTGCACTGAGACGTGGTCTCAGCGATGGTGTACCAAATGCCACAGTTCGGATTCTGATCGCAGAACTTCATAAGGTCCTGCGCGGCCACTCTTGAAGCCACAGCTCTCGTGCATCCCAAATCCAACACCATTGCGGTAGGCGTCAGGGGCTGAGAGATGAAGGCTTCCTCGATCTTGTCGATCTTCTCCTCGGTGTCATGAAAGGAAAAGTTCAAAGGGTTGACCTGTTCAACGAAGAACGTCGTGGCGGCTGTGGTGCCGCTCTGGGCAGAATCTCCAAGCTGAGCTTGTCCTCACTGAAAAAGCAGCTCTACGGCGCCCCCGCACCTGTTGAATCGTGGGAGTCCTGCTCAGAGAAATTTCAATATAGCCGTAACATGATCAGATTTCCTGAGTGATACAGAAGGCTTTTGCCGTTTCACCCGGCCCCTGCCTGCACCTGAGGAGCCGAGGCGGGCGGCGCAGCGTTAAAATTACAGCTGATCGAAACTTTGCAAGTAAATGTGTGCAACATGCAAAAAGATACAAAGACAAGCAACTTATGTCTGATGTCCAACCTGCTCGTGCTCGTGTGCCACATCGTGGACAAATCCGCGCAAGAACCAAGGCTGGGACCTCACGAGGCACAGTGCCAACATCAAGCATGGGTTCAAGACTGATCCAACCCAATGGACCTCACTTCTGATTGGGGCCAGGGCCACTTTGGGAACAGCGCAGCTTCACGCTCGCAGCATGCCGCCGCTTCGCGAAGCAGTCCTTCAGCCAATAGCCTCGAGTTGTGCGCAAACTTCACCAGAGTGAAACCGAACCTCTAAGCGGCTCCATGGCGTGTATCGGAAACTTCGACAGGGGGGAGAGCCGGAGCCTTCGACCTCCATGTGCTTGCAGCAGTTTGTCATGATCCTTGCTTGCAGCATGTGTCCGGGAAACACGAGCCATGTCGCAAGAGCGAGCAGTATCGCCAGGGTATGTGATCATCACCGAGGTCTTTTGGATCGGGGACAAGGAGGCCGTGAGTTTGTCCGCATACATAGGAAACCATGACCATAGCATTAGAGTGTTCACAGGTCAAACACTCCCCGACTTAAGCGTCTTGCCAGCCCAAAGGCAGGATGATTGTGCTTGTCTGGTTTGTCTCCTGGCCCCCGGGCCCACAACACCGTTAACAAGCATCGACCCTGCATCTCCTTCATCTTTAGTAGGAGCGGTGTGCAGCTTATGTGCGGTCATCTTGCCTGCGGACTTCGCCTGTGAGGCCAGCAGATTCGCCCTGCTGAACACCTGCAAACTTGAAACATGTGCTCTGAAGCCGCAGCTGAACGAACTGCTGTGAATTGACGCATCGTACTGTAGGACCTTGAAGGATCTAAACATGCCGCTCATTGCCGTTCAGTTCAATAAGCTCAGGGCGTCATAGTACTTGAACCTGACTGAGCTTGACAGGCCTCTTTCGCCGGGCTCCACGCTGCGTGATCGCCGCCGCTTTGGAGAAGGCTCCATGTGGGCAAGGAACCGCAGGGTTTGGATGTGCGGTCTTGGTGGACACTGTAATGCTCGTCGAACATCCGATCCCAACGATGCTGGAGGAAGCAAATCACATACTTTCAAGCCATCAGTGATTTAAGTTTGCTGTGTGACCGGAGCGAGGCTTGAGAAGCAACGAAGTCAAAGCATGTTGAAGCCAAGAGCCTGATTGCTTTCTCCTTCATGTCTTGCGTTTTAAAGCGTCCCGCTATTCCCCTGCTTCTTTGCTGCGCTGAATGCATGATACCACGGTCTGAGTGAGAAATGTGTGCTTTTTCGCACAACAGACCACGTGAAGACCTACACATAAACACACGTGATCACCACAACCCCAAACCTCCTGAAGCCGAGTGTAGTCACCCTGTTTCTCTCCCGAGGAATGCTGTGAGATCTATCTGCATCGACTCTGTCGTGGATGAACTATCATCTCAACTGCTCATTCCGCGCTCCGAGCATCGCGAAGCGCTTTCCGCTGCTTGTTAATTTTCGCGGCCTGTAGCACGCACATTTTGCGCTCAGTAGAGGTATAGTACACCCAATCCTGGCATAGCTCTGAAGTTCGAGGAGTTCGGGTCTTCGGTGGTTTGACATCCACTTCGTACCGAACTTGTTGTGAGACTCGGGCAAGTGATGCTTCAAGGAAGGCCAAGAACACAGGTGCTCGCTTGGGGTGTGAAGAACGGCATTCCAGCTCCAATCTTGAGACTCCCGACTCCGATTGTTATCAAGAAAATTGAGCCTGGGAAGTGGATTGGACCTTCAGAGGAAGGAGCGCTTTTGCACATGTAGGGTTGACCGCGGTGCTACCTGCATTGCGGGTGCACCTCTGCGAGACAATCGCCACGCCAATGCCATGGTGAAACCGCGCAGTTACAAGCTATGAAGTTCCGCACGAAACAAAAGCTAGCAACCAGTTAAGTAGAGTTGTACTCAGAGTTCCGTCTTCCATGTGCTCTTTAAGGCCCAGCCAGCCTCAACAGCTGCAAACTGAAAAATAAACAGCAATACTTCGAGGCGCGCCGTTGTCAACATCTGCACGCATGAACTGATGATGCTGATGATGATGCGTGGTCCACACCAAAGCCTACTTAGTTTCGGTGAAGATTCGCTTCTCCCAGCTTCAGCAAGGAACTTTCGCGGCTGTTTCTTGATGCCTTGAGCATCCAGGCATCGCTAAACAGAAGCCCTCACAATCGGTTTGGTCCTTGTTGAGGCCGTTCGCTGCAGACATGTCGAGGTGTGATCGGCCTCGGCCGGTTCTCTCCGTCGAATGCACTTTGCCGAACAACAGAGCTCCCTGGGCCAACGTACAACACATCGAGAGCTGGGATGGAACATGATGAAAGCTTGGTATCTTTGAACCTAGAGTGTCTGCAAAAACTTCATGCCATGAATTGTCAGTTCAGATTCAGATCCTGTTTGTGTGCCACTCACAAACCACTGCAGAGGCCCATCCCGCATTGTCAATGGCGATCTAGTATGCCATGTCGAAATGCAGACTAAGCCTGCCAAGAAACCAAGATGCTCAGAATCGAACTCTGACGCAAAGTGCGGCTGAAGTGCACAACTTCGGCAGCTTGTGGAAGTCGTTGGGGCCCGGGGGTGTGCCATCCGGCTTCCATATCTTCGGCCCCTTTCACAACGGCAGTTGGATTAAGAAGGTACCTGTGTTAAGAGGCCGTTGTCATCGGGATCCCACTGTTTGGGTTCTCTCTTACAGCAGATGGATTGATGTTTCTATGCTGGGAGCGGGTCGTCGAGGCGGCTCGTACGAAACATGTCTCATAGCAGTCTGACGGCTTCAGACTTCAATTCTTGGACACCCTAAGAACTTTCGCAAATCGTTGTTTTCTTCTGGGCAGGGAGGCATTCAGGTGCTCATTACTCCACGGAGTAGCTTTATGCAACAAAACTGGGCATCTGCTGAACCGGATCGGAGAAGTGTTGGCATGGTAGCATTAAACACCTCAGCATTGCAAGAGTCTGCTCGATGCAACAGTCTACGCTCACCGTCTGTCGCCTCCTTGGGGTCAATCTCCACCTCTTCCATTTCCTTGACTCGATGAAGTGGGGGAGGGGTCGAACAGTCCCATCCAAGCAGCTATTTGCATCTGTTTCCAGGGTCGGCAAAGCTCAGAGGAGTAGCTTCCATCAAAGTTCCATGGACCCCTCGCTGGAGAGACAACTGCCAAGGCCTTCAACTCACATTCTAGCTGGAACTCCGTCGAAAGACACGGGAAGGGCTTGGTTCACAAACCTTGTCGTGATGTGTTGTCGTCTCAAGAGAAGCCGAGGGGCCCCATCCACCTCCACAGTCACATGGCGCTCACTGATGCCATCGTAGAGTTTGCAGGGCTGGAAAGTCCGGACCACCTCCAATTCAACATGTTTTTTGTTTTGAATCTCAGGGATGTCGAGTCGGCTACGTGACATCATAGGCATAGTCCCGAGCCAGAGTTAGCCCCACATCCCTCTAGACCCAAACTCGACGGTTCTGCATGTGCAGACATAATGCTTGAAGCCCGATATTCCCCTGTGTGTCCGCAAGCCACAAGTGCACCTGCTCCATGGTCATGTGAGGACCACCGCTCATGGTGTTCAGGCTCTTGCGCCCACCCTTAGGGGAGGGCCTGCTCAAAAGATCGTCCTATTTTCCGCCTTCCGAGCCAGGCTTGCGGGCGGATTCAGGCTCAGACGTGTCGCCACATCCGGCAAGTTTGCTCACCAACATGGCTCCGACTTTTGCCCGCGCAAGCAAAGGCATACTGTGTGGGGCAAGCCCACTAATCACCAATATGGGGTTCCTGCAGTCTTTCCTTCTAGACTCGCCCTGCTTTGTTCTGGTGGGTGTCTGGATTGGGTCAATGGTGCTGACTAGTTTTGATGACATTGCCACATTTCACAGTGCTAGACCGAGTGGAAACCCATAACTCTGCACCTGTGGCTATCGTCGCTACCTTCCGAACCCTGTTGGAAACAAAACCGGCAATCGGAAGGGGCTGAGCCACATGGCTGGGTTGCCGAAGATGTCAAGAAACACTGAGCTATCCTGTCAAAGGATGCAAAATTATCCGAGGAATTCTGGTTTTTCTTGGGATTGTTGCTTTGTTTTTGTGCCTGTTTTTGGTCTGAGAGGACGGGCGGGAAGGAGGGAGGGATGGGGGTGGATTTTTCCTACAAAACACTAATTCCCTCACATTTTTGACGCATTTGGTGCCATTCACCCTAGAGTTCTCCTCAGGAAAATGTACGTTACCTAGATTTTATAGGGAAACGAGAGTTTTCCTTACATTTTGGACGGATTTCTTGCCATTTCCCGCGTTTTCCTAACGAAGTTCTATGTTACCTTGGTTGCGGTTGTTGTTGTTGTTGTTGTTGGTAGGCGGTGCATCTGCCGCCGCGCGGGGTGCGCTGAAACTCGAGTTTTGGCACTTTCGTCACCGGAGGTTGAACTTTGCTTTTGCTTTGGCATCAGTTTTTGCGGTGTGGTCTAGCAAAAAAGTAACCCCGCCGGCGGGCTGCAGTGTGCAAACACATGTTCGGCTCTGCATTTCGCCTCGTCTTGTTCGGTGTTCTCCTGTGTGTGTGTTGCATTTCGCATCGGTTTTTGCAGTGTTTTTGCTGAACTTCGACTTTCTGCACATGCCGGCTTCAACTTGCATTTGTCTTTCAGCTCTGTGCGGGGCTTGGAGGGGGGAGGGGGTTGTGTCTTCTGTTTCTCTTGCTGTTTCCTATGTGTCGCAGTTAGCGTTGGTGTTTACGGTGTTTTTGCCGATTCTCGACTTTGTTTACAAGCCAGCTTACACTTGCAATTTGTCTTTCGGCTCTGCGCGGGGGCGGGAGGGGAGGGGGAGGGGGGGGATGGGGGGGGATGGGGTGGGGGATGGGGGGTGATGACGTCCATGCGAATGCGGCTTGTGTCTTCTGTTTCTTTGGTTGCGTTACTTCTCAAACGCTACCGGTTGTTTGCTTTGTCAACTCGTGCTTGCCGTTTCTTCTAGCTTCAACGTCCACCATGCAAAAACCTCGAGTTTTTGAAGCTTTCCAAACAAAAACTTCCCAAATGAGCCTAAAAAATCAACATAAATCGAAGACGAAAAGCATGGTATTTGCGACACTTCAGCAAAATCCTCACAAAAAAACAAAACAATGAACTATAGAAGATTTAAAGTCCGATGCATCGTCTAGTTGACGAAAACCACGCAAAACTCAGGGTTTTCCAGCTTTTGACCAAAAAACCTACCAACAATAAACGACACACTCTGCGCGGCGGCAAACGCACTGCCTTCCTTGTTGTTGTTGTTGTTGGTAGTTTTCTTGTCATTATGCTTCTTGTGGTTGCTGTTAGCCTTCTTCTTCGTTCTTCTTTGAAAAAAATATGTGTGGCTTTGTTTACTATTGTACTATTTATGTATTGTTGGTATCATTTTTATTTCTGTTACTGTTTTTACTGTTGCTGTTGCTATTGTTTCCGTTGTTGATGTTGTTGTTGCTTTTCTCGTCATTCTTAAGCCTTTGTTGTTGTTGTTGTTCTTATTATTACGATTAGTCTTTTTGTTCTTGTTGTTGTGATTGTTACTATTGTCGTTGTTGCTGTTGCTGCTGCTAGTTGTTGCGTCACTGTTTTGTCGTTGTCGTTGTTGTTGTTGTTGCTTTTGCTACTACCCTAATTGTAGTAGATCTTAAAGAAAGTAGCAGGGTCTGCAGTTCAGAAAAGCGGGGGGTAAGGGAGAGGGAGAAAGCAGCAAAGTTTGCAGTTTTCAACAAGCAGGCCCCCCTCCCCCCCCCCATTTGCAAGCCTTCCAAAAATGGCTTTGTTTTCTTCGCTTTTGCCACCTAAAGCGATTTCGTGTGGCTTCTCGTTCTTGTGTGTTGGAGCAGACGCTTTTACTCATTTATTCGTTCTTAGAAAGGAGACTCTCTTTCACTTTACTTTGCTTTCTTGCTTGTTTCCTCCCCAGTGAATACATCTGGCTTTCGCCTTCTTGTCTGCCGGTGAAGACGTTTCATTCATGATAATTTTTTTCTTAGCTCTTAACCCCCTGAAGCGTTTTCGCTTGGCTTTCTCCTTTTTGTGTGTTGGAGAAGACGTGTTTATTCACGAGGGGGCACCCTTCGAAGAGGGCTTCGAACGATTTCGCAAGGGATTTCCGTTTGCGTGTTGGAGAAGATATTTGTATTCTTGTGGTGGTAGTAATGGTAATTTAATTGTTATTTATGGTAATAGTCCGAAAGCAAAGCGTTAAAGTTAAAGCAAAGCAGCGGAGAAGAAGGGAAGCACAAAAGCTGCAAAGCAAAAGGAAATCAAAGGCAGAGGAAAGCAATCAACAAGAAAAAAACAACAAGCAATCAAAGCAGGGAAGAGCAGCAAGCGAAAACTTAAAACGAGGAAAGCAACGCAGACAATCAGAGAAGCAGAAAAGCAGAGAAGCGGAAAAGCAGAGCACCAGAAAAAAGGAGGAAAGCAACCGTAGAGGAAAGCAAACGCACAAGAATCAAAAAACAAAACAAAAAATGCTGAAGCAGGGAAGAGCTGCAAGCAGAAACTTAAATTTAGAGAACAGCAAAGCAGACAATCAGAGAAGCAGAAAAGCCAGAGAAGCGGACAAGCAGATAAGCAGAGGAAAGCAAACGCAGAGGAAAGAAACAACACAAAAATCAAAACTAACAAAACAATGCAGTAAAGAGCTGCATTCAAAAACTGTAAACCAAAGAAACAAGCGAAGCAAACAGTCAGAGAAGCAGCAGCAGAGAAGCAGAAAAGCAGAGAAGCAAGAGAAGCGGACAAGCAGATAAGCAGAGGAAAGCAAAAACGCAGGAAAGAACAAGCACAAAAATCAAAAACAACAAAAAAGGCAGTGAAGAGCTGCAAGCAATAACTTTCAAACAAGAGAAAGCGAAGCAGACAATCAGAGAAGCCGCGGCAGAGAAGCAGAAAAGCCGAACAGCAAGAGAAGCGGACAAGCAAATAAAACAAAGAAGCACAAGAGCAGAGGCTGAGGAAAGCAAAAAAACAGAGAAAAACAAACCACACAAAACAAAAGTCCCCAACAAAAACAAAAAATCTCGGACAATTAGGATTCCTTCCGGCTGGAACTCATTGGCTCAAATCTGCTATGCACGTCGGCAACCCAGATGCTGGGGCGGCGCCTTTTTCAAAGCGGCGCCGGAATTTCTTCCGTTGCTCGTGAAGCATCTCTTGTCGATGTATGATAGGAGTGCCGCAGTGGTTCCAGGCAGCTGCTGTGAAATCAGTTGTAGCAGGCTGAGGTAAGCTGGAGAACGACCAATTGCTCGATTCGACAAGCTTAAGAGGTCTAGTCAGCAACATACAGGTACGTACACAAATATCACCCGTGGAAACTTCGAACCTCCAAACCCAGTGCCAACATGTGCATGATCCCACATGGAACAACTTCAAACAAAGGACTCTCAGAGACGACCACCGTCAAGGACTTGTCAATGTGGCTTTGAGCCCAGGGGCCCAAAGCCCAGAACAATAAATATCTCAAGATTAGATGGACCGCCCTGGGACCCAGCGTGCTGCAGCTAAGACACGAAAGTCTTGCGACATCTTGGCAGCAAATTTATGCTGGTAAAGGAAACCCACCATCACCACGGGTTCATGAACATTTGGGGGTCCTCATGTCCTCATACCCTGAAACTGCAAGCTGGTCATCAGGGAAACAAAGGCTTCCTCGCGTGGACCATGGGGGGGAATCATGTCCACTGAGTACTTTTATGTTGTAATCATGCCACCAAGCGTGTCGGAGGCTTTGTGCGAAAACTTGGCATGTTGCCTGCGACCTACCACATGCAGCACCACTTCTAACGCAAGTGGGAACACATGCAGCCTGGACCTGGGAGTGTTTCCTCTTCTGCTGAACGAAGCTTCCGACACGGGAGCTGCCCTGCGGCCACTCCGTTTGGTTTTCCCAGATCCGGAGGCAGGAGCCATCTTTGCAACCCAAACATCCTAAGTTGAGTGACCACAAGAGGAATAGCACATATTACTATTACCATAGAGACTGTATATGCATGAACAAACAAGTGAATCTATTTATGCATGGTTTTTCTCGAGTACGCTGTCTGCATCCTCTCAGCTTAGCGAGGCGCACTCCGCCTGAAGCTGCACGAAGCGCTTCGAAGCGAGTGGAGCCGTGGAGCTAGCGTGGCTTCCAAGCTGAAGACATCCACGAGAACTGTTCAGGTGTCCGGCAGTGCGGTTCTACAAAGCCAAATGGCGTGCTCTTCCTGGACTGAAACTCCTGCCTCGACGTGTGCTGGGTCGCGGTCTGCTAAGAGGCGCTCCTGCACAGTATGCCAATCACAAGCAAATTCAAAAGTAGTGCTGCATGCCACCAGCATCACGAACTGTCAGTGCTGCTGCTTATCGGATCGCACTTTTCATCCGTACATCCACGATCCCAAATGACTATCAGAAGAAGATAGAAGCAGTCTGCTTCTATGAAGAAGGCAGCTAGTTGGGTAAGCTCGGTCATACTGTGCATCTTCACCATTTTAATAACCGCAGCAAAAGGAGTTCATGCACTAACGCCATCACACGGTGTTGCTTTGTCTCCACACTATGTGCATCCTAAGAGACAAGAACAATCCATCTTGTTTGGCAAGTTGTCATGTCGGTGCCATGTCTCGAGCTCGGCCGCACACAACTTCTTTCGAAGGTCTACTGAGGCTGGTGCCCAATACCGCGGTCGCTGACGTGGTTCGTCGTTTTCGAGGACCTGGCCGACCACTGGAGCGCAACATCAACTGCAGCAGTTTGCTGACATGCTTTGGACAAGCCTCTCCGACCAGTTTAGAGGTTGGACGTGGTGCATAGACGAAGAGCTGGCATGCGAATAAACGCTGCAACAAAGCTTCCTGTTGAATCAAGGAGCTGAGATCACACTTGGAAGCAAGCGATAGAGAGCCAGGACCCCGCTCGGCACCTGGTCATCGGGGAGCTTGATCGTTGCCATCGACTCCTCGGCCTGCGGCCTGCGCTGCGTACGCAAAGTCCAAAGTCCGTCAGTTTGATCAGTGGGCCAACTCGCCAGACCCCAGCTCTCCAAAAGATCAAAGCAAACTGGCTGGCCGACATGAAGGGCTGGCTGCCCAAGATGCAACATCTGTGCTGGCACTTCGGGCTGCCACCCCTGCGTGTAGGTCTACCAATTAGTAAATTATTATTTGACGTACAATTTTACTGCTTTACTATGTGCGGCCGATATATGCGGTTGGTAGGCCGAGATGCAACAGATTTTTGCATCTCGGGCAGCCACTCTTAGATATCGGCCTCCAACCACGAACTACCACATACCACCACATGCTACCATGTACAACCACGTACTACGATGTACTATCACGCACTACCACGTATTATCATGTACTATGACGTACAGCCAGGTATACTACACCAAATACCAGGTACTACTACAAGCAGAACGTGGCTGTTGCATCTCGGGCAGCCAGCCCGCACGTCGGCCGTATTAATTTTACTGTCTTCTACTATTTTGCAATATTCACTATTTCACTCCACATACAGTGCTGCCATGGCCGATGTTTGGGGTTGGCAGCCCGAGACGTATAAAAGCTTCTTGCATCCCTGGCAGCCACTCTTAGATGTCGGCCTCCACCTACGTTCCAGGTTCTACCCCACTCTACACAAGTTTCCACGCACTATCAAGTTCTACCACGTACTACGTTTTTGCATCTCGGCCAGCCAATCCCAAGCATCGACCACGGTCCAAAAGCTTTCTGCATCTCGGGCAGCCGACGCGCAAACATCGGCCACCAAGATTTCGCATCTGGGGCAGCTAACCCTGCATGTCGCCAAGCATTTCTGCATGTCGGCCGAAATCCTCCCTTTGCCATAGATAAACTGCCTTAGACGAGTCCATGACAGAAACCCATATCTGAGCTACTGGCGTGTTCAAGAAGGCGGCTATTCGAACAACGACGTTGCACCAGCTCCGCAGAACCATTCTCTCCTGCCGAGGGCTCTGCCCACCGGGCTCGTGAATCGTGCTGCAGCTCCACACTTGCCCCACCGCACATCTACATGGCAAGCATGTCAAGCACACACGACGAGCAAAGCGGCAGCGTGCGGCTCCTCTCGCCGAACGATGACGGCATGGCCTTGGTGTCACGTGCCACGAAACATGCGAAACTCACAGGATTTCAAAGCCCTACTACACCTCCCAAGCATCCGGCGCTGGTTGATGCTGAAGCTGTTCTTGCCTGTCAGCGACAAAACCAGAGATATCGGCTGTGGTCAATAGTTACTGATTCTTTTGGCTGATTGGTGTCGCCACAGTACACTGCTTGTACAATGATTACAGACATCTTTCTTTGTGCTGCTGCTGCTGCGGCAGTTGCACATGCTTCATCGTACTTCTTTGAAACATTCTTCCCGCTCCACGGCCAAGCTGCTGTCGTCTTCGGCCAGGAGCCGGTCATCCTGCATCGAACACGGCTGCAGGACTGGCGGCAAGCCCGAGCCGAGGAAAAAAAACCAACGAAGACCATACGAAGATGATGCTAATGCCAACCATGGCTCTGCTATCACTAATATCACAGCTTGCTTTACCTAGAACTTTACTAGGGCTGATGATCATCGTAGGCACTTTTCTTCCCACCAGCTTCACTGACTAGGTCATATCAGGCATTGGGCCTTGAAATAGACCATAATCAACAAACAGCCAGTGTTTAGTCCGGTTTGTGCAGGTGGTAATTAATTGCTGATTGATAAGTTTTTCACTGTAATGTAGAAATGGCAAGAACCGTTGTCGTTGAACTGGTCAGAGTGGGCCAGAAGGAGTGCTCGTAATCGTCATAACTGGCCCTCACTCAACATCTTCTCACCGGCCACTTTCCCTGTGAAGACACAAACTGCTGGACTGGTGTGTCCTCCGAGACGGTCCCAACATGCTGTGCCTGGGGGCTGCATCGGAGTCTGCTTTTCAAAGTCGCGTGGTTGAGAGACAGTGTGCATGGCAATGCTGCACCAAGCCCACCGTGCTGGAGCACTTGCCGCTCATGGCAAGACAACGGAAGGAGCCCGGGCAGCTTGCTCTACCAGTGGTATCACCCCGCTGTACACCCTTGCGTTTCACATCAGGCTGGTGCCACTCGGGCCAAAGTCTGTTTCTTGACAAACTCCCACGTGGCACGCTCGCTGGAAACGGACCTGGCATCGGTGAGCTGTGGGCAAGGGCAGCCTCCACGGTCTCAGGTGAGCATACTGCTCCAGACTCTGGGTGTCACACATAGATAGCATGCAGGAGCTACTGCAAAGTTGAGAGCTTCTGGGAGTTGACTTTGAACACGGGAAGTCTTCACTTTCCAGGCTGATCTGGCAGATAATCTCATACTCTTGTCGTTCGCTATATCCAGGCCAATTCTGTGGCTATGAGGCTAGATGTGTGTCCTTTTACCGAGCCCACCAAAGAGCCAGGTCCACAAAGGAACTCTACAGAGAGGAGGCTGCACCTTCACGTCGCAAACCTCGGAAACGCCCCAGACTGATTTCATGACAAGCTGGGCCTTATGCATTGTGAGCACGCAGGGCTGAGGCTGAAGGTGGCCACAAGGCTTCAGCAGTGTCTTGCTTTCGAGGCTCTGCTAGCTCAAGTGCAGCTCTTGCATTGCATCGCTTTTTGCTGCTTCTTGTCACCCCTGCCTTTCAAGGCATTCTCTGATGCAAGAAAGTCTACGTATGCCCAGGGCCGTGGACAAAAGAACCTGCCTTGGCACAAGGGACTTCATGGCATGGATAACTGTCCGAGGCTCTGGCTGCAGTGACAGCCTGCGGCGGAAAATGAGCTGTCAGATCTTGATATGTGGGCACACCTGCTCGACAGTACCGTCTATATACTTTCGCGAGGACAATTCCAGCTTCAGCAAGAACAGCACGACATGGTGTTGTGGCATTGGACCGCCAATGTGGATGCAACCGAGAACGGCACTGCACGACAACTAATTCCGTGTTCTTTTGTCGGTGAGGCGAGTCGTGAAAGCAGTAGCAACGGACAACAGGTGGACAGCGACTGCACTTCTTCTAGCTGGGCCTAAAGCATCATGGTCGGTCATTCCAATCAATGCTTGAAAGGCAGTACAATCAGCACGCTGCAACTGCTTATGGTCTGGAAGGCCGCTTTATCAACAATACAGCAGAGTGTCATCCGAATCGAGGCTGCAGCACGGCGTCACACTAGCACCGGCTGATACGGAGACGGTTTCGCTTGTTGTTTTAATCCGGAATGTTCCGGAGGTCGGTTGCCTTTCAACTCCTCTCCAACCCAACAAACATCATACAGAGATGCGCAGCAGTCTGTCGGTCTATCGCCATGCTTCGAACAAGAAGGGCACAAAGCTCCTGTAATGTGCTGGGACAAAGCCACAATTGCTTGGTACATCTTAGTACCCTAGGTGCACTCCGCGACCTCCTGGGCGGCATGATGCCTTGGGCAGACCGTCCACACTGAAGTCAGCTTAGGGCTGAGTTCTCTCCATTTTTTCCCTCCCACCTAGCAAGGACGAAGCCCGCATTGCAGGGATGTTTGGTTGAACAGTTGAAGGACTAAAGTTTCATAGTCGCTTTCACAAAGGCTTGCATGCGACTTGGCAACGAGTATCTTGTTGACTCATCACTCAACGCAGGAATCAGCAATCGCATTGCTTGTAGCATATGAGTCTCTCCATTTGGGGGGTTGGGTTTGGCTGTTTCGTCACGGTTGTACCTGTCACACTTGGAAACCGGAATAGTGCGGCCAAGTAATGCTCCGGCTACTGCAACTGCAAGCCGCGCGGGTTGGTAGCGCATGATCTGGCTTCCTGCTGTTCGTCCTGTCATTTCTTTTGCCTCCCTCCTGGCTAGGACGAACCTACGATGCACTTGACTTCTTGCTGTCTGGGCTTCACGTTCTACTCCAACTTGCAGCTGGAAGCTGGCCAATCGAAATAATCAGTCCGTGAACGCGTTCGGCGTATCACGGTATGAGTTGTATGTGCGAAACTTTTCGCCAAGTTTCAGCTCCAGGTGGTATTCGTGCCGTTCACAAATTCGCTGGGGGGGGGTGGGGGGTGCAAACTCGTGCACCTCGGAACGGTTCCTGAAAGCTCGCAATCTTGATCGTTCCCCAGTTTTGACGAACACATTTGCAGGTTAAGCTTTCAATTCTTCATTGTCCCTCGCAGCATTTTACACATCACTTCCAAAGGGCCCAACTCACTGACCACCGTCAACGCCATGCACAAGCAGAATGCATGCAGCACTGAGCGATGGCGTGTTGCACAGATCAGACGGGAGATCCGACATCCTCTGGACCCATGGTCCCGGCAGGCTCAAGGGCAACATGTCGACGACAAGTTGCAGGAACTTGTCGCCCCGATTCACGTGGGCACCGTCGAGCAGTGACGAATCCTCGTCAGGAACACTTCAACAAGAACTCGTCTGCATGCGACCCTCCCTTCCCTTTGAATTTGACGTGACACATACAGATGGGCTTAAAGGGCCCAACTCGGTTTGGTACGCTTCCATGGAGACAAGACATTGCCTGACCCAAGAGCAGTGGATTGCGCAGGTCTGATCTTACGATGAAGTGCAGTTACTACAGTAGCTCTTGGTCTTCGTTTTTCGTCTCTCTCTCTCTGTTTGTATGTGGCTATCTCCATCTAGTGGAACTGATGTCTCGACTTGTCATCAGCCTCGAACTTTGCTGAGGCAGCATTGCTGACAGGTGTTCCATCAACCAATCCCCTGGCGTGCCCTGAAAGTTGCAGTGTGTCACCTCGACTGCACTCTTCAGTTCGCCTCGCTCTTTCCTCATGCCTGCTCCCACTGTCAACATGAATCTTGTTCGCAGCATCGCAGCATAGCTCCAACCAGCTCATGAAGGGCTCCTGTGCCAGTCTCTCTTCAAAGCCGACGACATCTTCCTGCGATGCCAGTGGTACGAAGCACCAGGAATTCACACGTTTGCCAGCACTCTATGGTGTATGCTTAGACTGAGGGTTCTTTGAACTTTGAAGGGTTAGTGAATATCACCACCGTATTACAACCTTCCCATAACCCCGAATATGTGCTTTTCATGCACCCGTCTGCAACTGGCGGCAGTGAATCCAGATCGGCAGAGCAAAGCTATAGAACGTATGCCGGCCTGAATGACTAGGATAGGCGGTGGAGACATAATCTGCATAATTCCGTGAGGACTATCAGGGACATTGGTACTAAGTATTCGAAGTTAGAGCAACGAGTCTCCTCCGTCGCCACCAGGAATCTGGCTGCGCCGATGGCAACATGAGGCGTGGACTTGCCTTGGACATGGATGTGGTCCTGCCCCGGGACGTTTCGAGAGATTTGACTTGGGTTGGTCGTCTAGCCTCAATGGCAATGGCCTTCATGTTGGCCACCAAAGCTCGCGAGCTGAGGCACCGGCGGCTTGGACACGCAGGCAGCGCAAATCTGTATGAATGAGGCAGATACCTCCCAACATCGATGCAGTCCGTTGAGCTGATGCTCAACATTTTCAACTGCTTGTGCTTGGGAGGCATGTTTGAGTTTGCAGACTGGCGTGTTTTTTACGGCTTCACGGTGTCGACACTTTCGGGACTGTCACGACAATGCGTTGGTGCGGCGGCGTGGGGAATACTCACCACTGGGCTGACCATGAACCGACCAGGTTAGCAGAAGTCATGGAACATCAGCAAGGTTCGGCAGAACGTCGCCAACTGCATGGGCAAATCGTTGCACCCAGAACATGAAAGTCAAAGATACTGCAGGTCCTGCTTTTCCCAGCACGTCCAACACATCATACGACTTAGGTCGCCTCGAATGTATGCATGCTGAAAGGCATTATCTTACATCGTCGTATCTCACGATGCTACGACCGGGCCATGAAGCGGTTGACTCTTGCCTTTGGACCTGAACATGTGGAATTAAAGAATGGTGTTGTGCAGTTACTCCGTGATGCCGGGGGTGATGAAAAGGTAGGACAAGCCCCGCCGGGCAATCTCGAAAGACAGGTCCAAGATCTGTTGGACGAACTCGCGGATTAATGTCAGTTCTTTTGCAGGCGAGGGTATCTTGTGCAGTGTATGTAGCTGGATGCCGTTGCAAGCCAGGGCACCATGCCCTGGTACTGGGTTAGCCCACCTTGGCCATGTGCTGTGTGCTAACTATCCGTACCGTTGGGCCTGCGCCTCTGTCTCTTGGGAGGCCCGTAAGTGGCTTACGACGCATCCGAGTGGTTGTCAGTCAGTCAGTCAGTCAGATTTGACGGTCCGAAAGCAAACCGCACAGGAGGCACGACAACTGAGCATTACCTAGCAGTGAACAGATGTTTGGGATCTAGAAGTAGGCTAAGAAGAACAGCACAAATAATGCAAAGCTGCAAAAAACAAGCCAGTCGGCAGCCAGAAGCGAATGAGTTACTGTTAAAGTCCCGTAACGTAGCTGGACCATGACTTTGGCTGACTTGGTACAGCGGTGCACACCCAACAGCCCTGTGCAAGCAAATGCTTCGCCTAGATTGCCCGCGATGCGCTGCAGAGATCATGCTGGCAGGCAGCGTTGTCCCAGACGCGACTATTAAAACGTGACCTGTGCAGTTGTGCATCAGGCAGCCTTGCAAGAAAAGCAGGAGGCCTTCAAGACTTCGTGAAGCAGCACACCCGCAGAAACCGTGCACCGAATCAAAGGTTCAAAATGGAACATGTTTCAAGGCATAAAGAAAACATAGACTGGAAATCCAAGGGTGTCTAAAGCCTTCCTCTCCCAACGGCAGCCCACTCCCAAGGGCAGGTTGGTTCGTGGATGTACCTTGGCCTCACGCAGAAAACTTCGGCCGTTCGAAATCTGCATAGACCCTTCGCCCCAGCCCTCAGGTTTGACATTTTTGAAGTTTTCTCTACCCAGACTTAGCTGATCAGCACGGGCATCACTGAGCTCTGAGGATCCTGAAGCGTACTTCGCCACCCAATCATCTTGGTAAATGTTCGAAGTAGTACAGCAAATAACGGCACCCTTTTCATGACGTTCTTTCACAGCCCGAAGCCAATGACAACACCAACAGGGGTGTTTGGCACCAACTGTAGGCTCAAGATCGCTGATCCTAGACTCCAGCATGGTATTCCACATCGGATGGCGGTCATGTTTTGGCGGCACCTCCACCATGTCCCGGCCGCACTCTTCGCTTGGATGCAGCCAGCATCCGGAGTCAGCACTGCTTCCAAACACAGGGATGCCATCGAACCAAACTGTCGCAGCACTTCCCTGGTCCTGCCGTAGTTTAGCTAAGACCAGATCGTATGCATTGCCTCCAGGTATCGAGGCCCCACATGCCCCGCTAGGTAAATTTTGTCGCATATCTTGGAAGCAGTCATATGAATGATAATAGGTGAATATTAGTCCATTCCCTGCAGCCTCATCGCACATCTGGACGAAAGCTTCATCAGCAGAGAGATTGTCTGCGGCGAGTTGCACCAGCCAAGAAGCTCGAGTTGCGCGGACTGCATCCAAGACGAAATTCCTGTCGCATCTTAAGCGCTTTGAGGCATGCTTGAGGGCCACGCCGTTGGTGCGAATGGCAGCCAGCACGGTGTGCGCATCGTTTTGTAGCTCCGGCGAAGCATACTCCAAGGCCATACCGTTGGTCTCGACAGCAGCCAAGACGACTTCTCTGTCCTCCTTGAACTGCGTGAACTGCAAGGCCTCGCGATTCTGTCGGACAGCGGCTAGCACGACCTCTTTGTCATCCTGAAACTCCTTCAAAGCGAACTTCAAGGCTCGCCCGTCCTGTCGGACTGCAGCCAGGACGACATTCTTCTCTCGGGCTGCTTGCTTAGGCACGAATTTCAAGGCGTAGCCCCTCGACGAAACTGCGGTCTCCACGATGTACTTGTCTTGCTGCAATGATGGGGAAGCAAACTGTATCGCAAAACCGTTTGCCCAAAAAACGACCTCGCTGTCTCCTCGAAGCTTGGCACTCGCATATCGCAAAGCATTGCCGTTTTGTTTCACTGCCCTTGTCACTATCTCCTTGTCTAGCTTCATGGCATCTACTAGGTGTTGCAATGCACAGCCACGATGACCGACGGAATCCAAGACACATTCCTTGTTGGTCTGCAAATTTTCAGGCAGGAACTGAATGGCAAACATTTCGGTACCGTCGAAATTTGGCATATCCGCAGCGCGTTGCAACGACGTATCCGCAGCTGCAACGATGTCCTTGTTTTGGAGGATGTTTTCCGGTGCGTACTCGAGCAGACAGCCATTTATCTCCACTCCAAGCATGAAGAAGGTTTGATCGTGAAGCAGTCGTTCGTCTGCAAATTGAATTGCTTTGTAGTCGGCTGAGAGTGCGGTAAGCACAATGTCTTGCTTGCGTTTGAGGCCATCAGAAGCAAACTCTAAGGCAATGCCAGTTTCGCGGACCGCTGCCATGACACATTCAGCGTCTTCTCGCATGTCTTTTGGAGCGAACTGTAAGGCAAGTCCGTTCTGCTGAACTGCTGCCATGACAATCTCCCGATCCACCCGTAGATTCTCCGGTACAAACTGCAATGCGAGCCCGTGCTGAGTGACTGCATCAGTGACAATGTCTTTGTCGTTTCGAAGCTCCTCCGATGCATAACGTAAGGCCCATTCACCTTGCCTGGCAGCAGCTACGAATATCTCTCTGTCTCCTTGCAGTTGGAAGAAAGCGAACTTCAAGGCAAAGGCATCCTGAGTGACGGCGGCCAGCACAACTTCTCTGTCCCTCTGTAAAGTTTGGGAGGCAAACTGCAGTGCACGTCCGTTCTGGGTGACTGCAGCGAGAACCACACTCTTGTTTGCACACATTCGCTTCAGGCTGTACTCCAGGGTCATGCCATTGTGTTGGACGGCGGCCATGACAATTTCATCATTACCCTGGTGCAGGGGGGCATACTGCAAAACGTTGGAGTTTTCCTGGACGGCACTGAGGACGAACTTTGCATCCTTCCGCAACCTTGAGGAAACATACTGAAAAGCCGAATAGTTTAAACGGACTGCAGCCATGGCAAACTCCGCGTTGTTCTTCAGACTCTTTGACGCGAAATCCATAGCTGTCTCTAGATTCTGCTGGGCTGCTGCTAGGATGATGCGCTGGCAGTTCCGGCACTCCTCCGCAGCAAAGTGCAGGGCTTGCCAGTTGTTGAGAACCGCATCAAGCACAATGCTTTCGTCGCTTCTCAGCTCCTCCCCAGCATATTCCAGTGCACGTCCATTTTGCTGCACTGCGGACCTGACAATTTCCGCGTCCAGTGTCAGCTGCTCGTCTGCAAACTCCAGGGCAGCGCCGTCTTGCTTGACCGCTCGACGGACGATGTCTCTGTCCTTTCGTATGGTCTCGGAGGCAAATTGCAATGCCTGCGGGTCTTGACCCACTGCTAGCCAAACAACGTCCCTGTCATTTCTGAGCTCGGCAGGTGCATCGCCAAGTGCCATTCCATCTTCGCGAACCATGCGCATGAGAGCCGGCTTCACCGACAGCATGTCAAGCCGTGGCTCGACCGGTTCACTGACCTCGCTCTCGAGGGGTGGCAGGGATCTTCGCTTTGCACGTGCTTGCCTACCTACTTGCCTTGCAATGTCCCAAGAACCGCGGCGCACGGTCGACGGGCCATCCCATGAACTGCGGCGTGTGTCAGCCGACGCCATTACGGTGCGAAACAGAGAGCTGGATTCTTGGAAAGAGCTACCTTTCACGCTGCTTCTTACGAGTCTAGGATTATTGGCACGGAGTGTGGGCCGATCTGGAGCCAGGGCTGAAGGCACGTGCAAGAAGGTTTTTCTTCAATCCGATTCCACTCCATCCATCATCCCATGAAACGGAGGCATGGGGTTTAGCCGCAAGTTTAGCCTTCATAAGCACACGGCTCGCTTCCCGCTTCTATAAAGGAAAATAAAGGGAAATCTGAGGACACGTAACAAGGGGCTCCTCAATGTCAATGTACCAAGAACTATCGAACTTTCTGTCGCAGCGAATACGCAAGTCTCGAAGATAACAAACACTGAACCACCTTCAGAATCCGTCTTTCATTTGAGTCGAGACACCATGCACAAGGTGCCTTGTTCACCCCTCGAGTTCTCTGGTATCTACCGCGGCCCTGGGCTTGTTATGGACAGGCTCCCGGCCTAGACTTCCAGGCTGGGAAGTCTGTCGGAAGAGGCAGCTCTATCATGGTGTACTGGGCACAGAGCCTCCGCAACATGACAAGGCTGGCCAAACATTTGCTCTTTTCTGAGGCCATACTGGGTCTCTTGCGTAACGTCGCTCCACCGCTGGGGCATGGTAAAGCCATGGTAGAGCAAATAATCTGCCTGCGACACAAGGACATCGATGCCTGCTTTTGCTTTCGGGTGCCTCAGATGCATTGCTCGTTTCTAAGGGAAGCAACTGAGAGCCAGGCATTGGAACGAACACCATAGCCCACGGTTACGGCCTCGGCCGTGCGAGTCTTTAACTCCGTGTCGGTCAAGAAGCTGGGCAACTTGCATAGAAACTTGCTTCCACAAACAGATCGCTCAGAACCAGGCCCTAACCAGTTGCTGATTGCACAAGATGACCGAAGCACACTCTGGATGAGAGGCGGTGGAGGTGCAAGGGGAGTCCATTCTTGGGGCATGCTTTCTTTCTTATTATCATCACTACCGGCTCCTGCTGTTGCCATATAAGTTCGTCGTGATAGGCCCCATAAATCATCTAAAAAACTGTTCTTGGCTGCCAGGCTGTGTTGGCTGGCAAGACCTCCTTAGCCTTCAGCGTCACTGCTGCAGAGTCGGCATCCTGGGCTCCGTTCTCAGGATTCATAAGCTTTTGTATCACACTTTCATGTGAACATACAATAATGATTAATACTCTTTACCAGTTTAGCACACTCGCATGCATCTATACCTATACGTATGTGTACGTGCTTCCAGCTACATACAAATACGCACATATGCATGCATGCTCACATACGTACACATATGCATATATGCATATATATATATATGTATGTATGTATGTATGTATTCATGTGTATATGCACGCACATGTAAACTATTTGTGTGTATGACTATGTAACAGTAGGTATATACATACTCTCACACACACACACACACTTCAATACTCTTACTGTTGTTCTTGATGTCGCTGTATGGCTCGCGCTCTCTCTCTCTCTCTCTCTCTCTCTCTCTCTCTCCTGGGCTTGAGGGCCGGTCAAGGCCCCCGGGCTTCAAGCCCACCCGATCTTTTATCGGGACGAGAGGCGTGACAAACGAGTGTAGGCTCGGTTAAAGGCTATAGCCATAAAGTCTACAATAGCGAAGACAACCAGCCGTACACTCTCTTTTGACACATGCAAACTGAGGATATCCCCCGACCACTTCTACGAAAAAACTGTAACATAGTAAGAAGGAAAAGATGTCCACATGGTCGGTGAGGTATTGCTCAGTTGTGACATATCTGTGTGATCCCCCGCGGCAATTCGTTACTTCAAACATCAGAATACAATGACCGCAATGCATACTGTTGCAGTCCTGCTGGCCGATTACTCCCATAAGAGAAGCATCAAAGGATCATTCACGATCATCAGAAAGATAGCTCTCTCTCTCTCTCTCTCTCTCTCTCTCTCCATATATATATATATATATATATATGCACGAATCCGGGTGTTGCTGATATACAGTGCGACGAGTAGAATCTTTGTTTCGGGACAGCGGAATGCGTGCCATTGCAGCCTGCGAGTGCGAAGGCCAGAATCTCACTCTCACCGGTTTGCTGAGGTTCCGGGATCAACAAAGAACCAACCCATCTCATCTGTGCTGTAGGGTGCCCGGCATATGAGATGTTCGTTCTTGATCCTCTTTCCTGCCAGCGTTGGTGGATGGAAAGGGCAGACTGCCTTGACCCGGAGCCTCTCAGGCTAGAAAACCGCGAAAATCTGCGCCGGATCATGTACTGTCCTTAGCCTCACTCTTCCGATTTCGCTAACTTTCCTATTTTCACTCGAGTATCCCCAGCTCATCCATTGTGGTGGATGACTGAGGTTGTGGTGGATGACTGAGGTTTCTTCGAAGAACGGACCTGGAACTTGGTCAGGTCGTCGTAGGAGTGTAGAGCTTCCCTGCATCCATATGTGGCTTCCAGTTCAAGCAAAGCTGTGACCCCTGCTGCAGCATCTCCTTGCACACATGTAACTCAACATGAAAGACATGTATCGTAAAAATGACACGATCCGCAAGGAAGGACTGTGGCCGCAGCAATGGCAAGTGTGGCTTTGGCTTTAATGCTTCCCGACAGTCTTACAAGTATGTGTTGACGATGCAAGTAGCATCTGCCTCGTATTTGTGTGCACATCTAGCATCTGCTGCCAAGCAGCTCCGGCATCGGCAGATGGTGGTCGACCAAATCAATGAGAGGCCTGGCATGGACAACACCAGACTTCGTGCTGGGAGAAAAAAACATGAAAACATGCACTACCGTTCTTGCTGGCACCAAGAAGAGAAACCTGCTAATACATCCTCTCCCGGTCTGCAGGCTGTCTGAAAACAGGAGTCACGCAAAAAAAACGCATTCCCTTGCCGGCTTTCCCGGGTTTCATGATCTACAGATGTGCCATGCTGTGTACATGTCGACCATCAGCTGTTGCCCCTCGATCCCGATAACAAGCCCTGCGCGAGAATGTTCGGCCAACTGAGGTGTGAGCATGATCGCCAGCTGCGGAGAGGTTTGGCCTTGTCAAGGTAACCAGGTAACACTCAAGCGCGAATCATGTCTTCTTTTTTCGTCGGCTTGATGCCTGCCTGGTACCAATGTAGGCACACATCGATACTGGCGAGGAAAGCCACCAAACTGCAGGAAGAGAAGCCAAGCTGTTTCTGGTGTGAGCTTCCGATTCGCCCTCTCATCGTTTGCTCCGGCGTTACAGGCTCTGCCCCAAGCCCTGCCCCAAAGTTGGATCTCCAACAGACTGAATGCAGCCGCGTGGCTCTTGTTGTCGCGGTCCGGTAGATTTACAGTCTCACCACGTGACATCACGACCATCGCCCATTTTTTGAACCTCAGTCGTCAAACCAGGTATTTTACGGGTACGAGCATGTCGGCGTCACTGCAAACAAGATCAAATCGAAACTCAGGGAGCTCATGTTCGATGGCTCTCTCTTTTTCCTCTCCAGGCTCCGCCAGCTCTTGAAGCTGTCGTACCCTCTGGCCGAAATCAATATCATCCAGAATCCACGGCAGCTCCTCAGCGACCCAGGAGATGAGTTTACAGCTGTTGCAGAACATGGAAAACACGTGCTCGCTTCCACCCTTTGCAACTCAACCGATGACGCAGCCCAATTGCTGGGCATAAGCTTCCCGCTCCAGGCTGTTGAAATAAGCCAAGGCTCTTTGTCGACGACGCCCTCTGGGATAATGCCGGAGAGCTGCTGCTTCACTTTGGCGGAGATGTGCATGAAATTCGATCTCATGGCAGTCGTCACGAAGAATTGGAAACAAACATGGCGAAGTCACGCACCGACATTTTCAATATAGCACTGTGTCTCACGTTGATGAAAAGTTCAGAACCATCCAGCTTGAAAATCACTTAGGCTAGGCCTTTGCATACTTATGCTTGTTCAACTCCTTCAGCCGCGATGCCCCCCTCGCGACGTTGGTGCAGGTCCGGGTGCCGTGTGCGGCGGCAGAATTGAAACTCCTGCTTGCATTGACGTAGACAACCCAACGGTACCGGCAAACAACTCTGCGCTGGACAATTTGGCGGTATGATGCTTGCTGCACTGCCATGCAGCCTGCAGCGTCTTTGGGCAGCACGTCAATGTCGATCTGAAACAACGACGCGCACGCCGTGCGCAGGAAGTTTCTGTGAGCCTCCCACTAGCACTGGCAAGGCCAAGGATCGTGCATTGGGATTCCGTGCAAGATCTTTTCGGGATGCATAAGCTTCGTGGCGGCCTGAACTGCAATTGCCTTACAGCGAGGCTGAAAGAGCCTGCGAAGTCGACCGGGTTTAACATAAACCCTTGTCTAATTTCGTATGCAGCCCGCAGCCACCTGTGGCTTTGAGGTCGATTGAAGTTGCAGGCCTTCGCAACGCTGTCGCCTTGACAGCAGGCAACGGTGTCGAATGCTCAATGACACTCTCTATGGGGCTTCGCTGCAACGGACGATCCAGCTGAGCCCATTCAGTTTTTCATACACATGTAATTATGGAGTTGTCAGACCGGCCAGCCCACATGCAGCACAACCCAACCCACCCAACGCAGCAATTAAGCGACAAAGAAATGCTTCGGTCCAAACTTATTGTGACACACCGGCAAGCTTGTCCGACCCCTCCAACCAGGCAATGCGAGCGAAGAGCCGTCTCATCCGACTCCACTGGGCAATCCGAACGAATCTAACACCCGGGCTGGGCTGGGTCGATATTTGAGTTGATGGACGGAAAAATGGCTGTCGCCAAAACACACAGACCGAGAAACCCGCAAATTTAAACCGATCCTTCACTCAACAAGTGTTCAATTTTTCAGCAGAAAAGATGAGCACTGCGACACGCGGACAGGTGTACGCACCAGCTTTCCAAGTAGAGCTCTTGCTACAGTAAGAGGACATGTACGCTCGTGGGGTCGATAATCAGTCAGCTCCGTCACTGGGCCTTTGAGGTTAGACGGTCGTTTCTTCATTTTTCTGCGAACTCTGCCCCTCCCACGTAGGCTCCCACTTCCCCACACCATGCACCCCAGCCCGACCCATTCCCCAAACATCAAAGCGCCAGTTCCAGAAAGACTTCGGTCAAGCTTGTTGAGACCCAACTGCAAATTTTATGCAATTTCTATTCACTTGAACCCCGAAGCCTTTTGCTACACGCTTGCTGAAGCCTAAACCCTAAGATGTTGTATCAGTCTATCTCAATCCGGAATGTACCCTTTAAAGCCCAGTAAACATCCTCTAAACCAACACATGTTACCACCATTCTGTAGCGCCAAGATGCCTCAAAGGCTCGTGGACGGCCAAGTCCCTACGAATCCAGTCGCTCTCGGCTGCAGCTGATGGGGGAAGGCCGCCAGAAACGCTTTTCGGCTCCTGAGACAGCATGTAGATCTGTGGTAGGGGCTCAGGCCTCACCAGCCGGACAGAGCAGATGAGGTCTCACGCTTCACACCCGGCTTCTGGAGAAAATGCACTCAGCCCGAGCCGGGAAATCAGGCTTCAGACAAGCAAGCAATTACAATGTAACGCAATATCTTGCATCTCATGAAACGTTCAGACGTTCCTGGCAAGAAGGACTGGGCTAGCCTGCAAATACAAACGACCTCAGGGTCTTGGCGGCTAGTTTATGTGGGCATGGTGAGTCGTGTGGATCAGGCGCCCGCAAGGACTTGTGACTTTCGGTAACCTCGACAAAGAAATCCAAAGCTCGCACCTTGCTACGGAGCATGCAGTGCGAGCCAAAATTGGAGGTCCTTCACGTCCTTCGAGGGCAACGTGGTAGCTGCCGCCTGCGTGGTGCCCCAACGGCAAGGCTTGCATATTTGACCGAATGGCGGCTGCACCTTCACCGCTCTCGAGGCCTTGGCAGCGTGCAGCTTCTGCGCCTCCTCACCGGACCGCACAGCTTCCCTTCAAGTTTCAGATTAAGGACTCGCTTCGTAGTCCTGCTCCATCCAAAGCTTCTCTCGGCGTTGCCGCTCCCGTGCATCCAGAGGGGTGCCGCGGCTCTTGCGCGGTACCTTCACGGCTTCTTCAGATACCGACCGCTTAGAAAAATATCTGGTGGTAAGGGTTGATCACGCTGCTCACTATTTCTTCTGTTGCCGTCGTCTGATGGTTTCGAAAGAAGAAGGGATTGCAAGGCGGTGGGTTCGCACAGGTAGGCATGAGACATGCAAGTGAGAAAGTGCACCAATAGTCATCCAGCATCGAAGCCCCTGACCCTGCAGACTTTGTTGGCTTGTTCACTTCCACCCACCAGCTCTATTTCCTGCATGCCCTGTTGGGAGTGGTCTGCAAGTGTACACAGGCAACAAGGAAGAAACCTGCCTGCGTCTTGGTCTGCGGTGCAGATGCTTCCTTCCGTGGAGTGGCAAGTGCGTCCTTCTGCAGCGCCCTTCTGCCCGTGCTTGGCCGAGCCATGGTCCTCGACGCTTTCGGCTCCAGCCTTCGCGGAGCAAAAGCTTCCTGAGCATGTCGTCATTTCAAAACATATGCAGTCGCCGCCATGTCTCGCGAAACGAAAAGTTGCCTTTGCCACTTGGCTGTGTGCATCTGCCATCTGCATGCTGCAACCGCGAGGCTACGAAACTCTGACCAAAGCACCCCTTGATCTGGTGCGAGAGAATTGGAAGATCAAGCCCACCTCCTGGACAGCCGGGTTGCGACATCCCGACGGATCCACTCAAGTTCCCGCTGCCATCGCTCTGCAGCTGTCTTGGGCTTGGTCCTGTGTAGTTAAGGATCGCACTTCGCAGGTCGACTCAAACTGAACTGTGCCCCACACTTCAGAGCTGCGACCCTGCTGGAAACCTTTCCATGCCTTCCCCATTCTAGCATTCATCCAGTTCTTTGAACCGGATCACATGGAACTCCCCCCCCCCCCCCCCCGGGTTTCACCGAAAAGCATCAAGAATCTAAGACATCCTTGTCTGGGTGGCATGGCCACTTCGTGCAGCCGCTCGCTGTACGTCCTGTTGCTGAGTTGGGAATGACAGAAGCTGCAAGTAGACAGTAGCAGCTAGCATCAACCACGCTTGCTTGCGGCATTCCAACTTCGGAATTCTCGAATTCTTATCCCCAGATATCCCCAGCCGTGTCGAGTGGGAGGTCCTTTCGAAGCCACTCCCGATCCTTGGCGCCAGGTCTGAAAACCGACCCCGACGCTTCGACAGCCTTCGGCTTGCCTGGCTCTGGTGCTTGCCGCGAACTGACAGCGGCCTTCTGGGGCATCTTTGGCTCCCAACTGGTGCTGGTTGCGGTGGTGCTGGTGGCAGTGGCAGTGGTAGTGGAAGTGGCGGCGGTGTTGCAAGTGTTGTGGCTGGTCCCTGTTAGCTGTGCTGTCGATGTTCGTTCATCTCCAGCATGCTCGGGTTCATCCAGCAAATCAAAGTACTGCGGCAGGAGCTGCAACCTCTCAGCCGGCTCCATCGCGGAAGGGTCTTCTGGAAGCACTTCGAAGGATCGCTGTGCCAAGAGAGGGCCATGTAGGACGCTCACAGACACGGTGTAGCTGCCAGGTGGAAGGGCCGAACCCAAGTAGCGCTCCCAGATGGCGCCTGGCCGGACGGCTTGGCCACCACCCCGATAGCGCACCATGCCCTCTGCATCAATCCAGCGGATCTCCAACGGCTCGAACCATGGGTGCTCTGGCTTCTCTCGCTTGTTCTCCACCTTGGGAGACACACATGTGCGGCACATCTCATGGATGCATCACAAGATGGATACCCGGGAGTGGGATAGTTGGGGGGGGGGGGATCGAAATAGATACTCCGGCCTAGGTTGGTTGGGTGGTGAGGGCTCTCACCGGATGCAGTAGCTGTCGTTACCGAGGCCGTCCCACGTGCGATCTAATGTCACCATATCCCCCGGTACTTGTTCCTGTGTCCCCCCGGTACCCCCCCCCCCCCCCCCCCCCCACTCTCCCGGAAATGGTGCCGGAAATAAGTCGCACCATAGGTCCCCATATCACAAGTATCACTTGCCGGCTTGAGCTCCTGCGATCATCGCTGTCAGGCTGCGAACACCAGGGGGATCAGCACTGCCCACAGGTCGCCGGTAGCCGCTGCAGGGATCAGCGAGGCGAAGCCGTGAAACAGGAATTCATCCTCAGTCGTAGTCCAAGCAAGTAACACCAGCAGGTTGACCGGTCACTTCCTGAGTCAGCTCAGTATCCCCGTCCCAGCCGGTGCCGACGCGGAAGAGATGCGGGAAGGAGATGCCGCAAGGTTCCGTCCTGCCATGCAAGGTGAGTTTGCAGCTGTCCCGCCCTGCAAAGCTCTTCGACGAGTCCAGCCTGTGACCCAGGGCTGGGCCTGGTGCAAAGGGGTCTACAACGAAGAGCCGCTCCGTGAAAAAGATCTCTGCATCAATGCGGCAGTCATGCAATTGGAGTCCTGGTGAGGCTGCTGAGCGGATCGGGCCGGGGCAGGCTGGACGCAGCATCAGTCGGCTTTCTCGATCCAAAGCTTAAATCCTGCCCCACCGCGCAACATCGGTGACAACTTCGGTCGGCCTTGCAACGTCGTATCGTAAAGATTTCAGCCCGGGCAAAGTATCGAGAGTGGTTCTGATAAGTGGCACTTTCAAGCTATGGTCCTTTGACGGCCCCGTGGATCTCGCATTTGCCGTCAGCTGGTGAGAAGCTGACCTCCACTGAGAACTCTCCAAACATACCATATCCTCCAATGTTTCATTTCTGTGTGTGTGTGTGCGCCTAAAAGCTCGCGTCGGGCGCACAAGCGCCTTCACGCTACCTAACTCGGCATCAGAGCATGGCGCCCCAAAGCCAACCACCACCTCGAGCCTAATGTCTCACGACCCTGAAACCCATTGCACCTGGACTTTTGGACCTCCTGTCAAGCCACGATCAAGCCTCCAAAGCGGTTCTATTCGTCTGTGGTGCAGCACTACAAATCAAGCCTTCACGATCGGAGCTCAAACGCCACACCTCCGCAGTCAAGGCGTCCGCAAGCCGCCCGAGGCTCTCGGCAGAGCGTCGAATTCGTCGGCTGCCAAAGGCACGTCGTGAGACCTTGCAAAATGGTTGTCATTCAAGCCGGGTTCTGCTGGAATGCGGTTAGGTCCTGAGTGGTTCTTCATGACACAGGTTAGATGCTTTGAGGCTTTGCTTTGGCTGTGCGACCGATTTCGGCTGGGAAGGATTGAGTCGAGGGCAACCTAGCCGACCTGCTTCTCGGCACCTGCGGATGCTGCAACAAGACAGCAGCAGCACCCGGGCCCTGACCCAACACAAACCCCCAAAAGACTGCCGCCTGCGCAACTGACTGCACTCTGTCGCCGGAGCCTTCGCTTGTGAATTTGCCGATTCCATGTCTTGGTTAGGCAAGGTTCAACAGGAACAAAAAAACACGACATTACATGACAGCTCCATAATTGCAGAAGCTCACAATCAAGACTGACAATATCGAAACTCAGCATGGCAAAGGTCCTTAGCCAGGAGGCTTCTGGCCATGAGTGCGTGAGCCAGCCAAAGCGTCAGGTTAGCATAGAGCGACAGCCAGTCCGAACTCAAAGCTTTGAAGCTCTCCTGAGTACAGGAACAGGGCTGCTGTCTCGTGCCTCGTTTGCGAGTGCCCCCACCCTAAGGAAACCCTGCCTACAGAACCAAGAATCGCCAGCATCATACGCTTCCACAGGTGACACAATGCTCCAGGTTTGCAGTGTACCTGGCTGTCCTGAGTCTCGCACGACATCGTTGCAACTACCAGCAGCTACAGACCGAGCACTCGTTGAATCCTCCGGCGACGGCAATCCTGCGCCCGAATCTCTCTTCCCGACCTGTAGTTATAGAGTAAAAAGCCCGGCTCGGGAAACGCTAAACCGCATAAACCCTGTAGGCCCCTATTCACTCAATTAGATTCAACCGCTTAGCCAGGTGGCTCATGTTGGATTGGCTCTCCAAGAAAGGCCGGATCCCCTTCCCGAAGACTGCAAGCACGGCGCAAGATCCAGGTTTGGGCTGTGGGCGACGACTTTCGAGAAACTGACATGCAAACTCACATGATGTGTCTAAAAGCCTTCCGGCCCGTGGTCACATAAGCTGCGCCTGACTGTTGGGGACCTGCCCAAACGACAAAGCCTGTGCCCAAAAGTCCGGCCAGGCGGCCTCAAGGAAAAGTGGCGAATGAGGGGTCAGTGTCACTGCTGGAAGTCTGTGGATATGAGGCACCAGGCTGCGAACAGGTTCTCGGAATTCGGGCGACGAGCGTCTTTGCACTCACTATGTTCATTCAGGTCTTTGTTTCAGTTCCGCCTCAGGCCCAGACCTTGGCCCATATCTCCAGCAGCTCCGGCTGCTTTGCATCCAACGATGCAGTGACCTTAAGGCCAGTGGCCACAAATACTTTCCTACACCAATCTGTCAAGAAACTGCGGTTGTGAAAGACTGAAGATCGGAAAACAGACTGCTCCCAGACTTCGTGACTGCTAGTGTGGCAGCACCCCGAGCCGCGAGCTCCATGGTTCATGACATGTGCCAAGCCTACATGCCACATTGCATTCTGCAATCTCCCAATAGCCGTCCCCTCTCGGCGGCGACCTCCTCAGCATGGCCACGGCTGACAGCAAAGGTGCCACCATTGCCGGAAGCCAAGCTGGTTCCGTTCAGCAGGGCAAGCCACCTCGCCACTTGGCACTGGAGTCTCTAAACCTCGCCTTTAAAGCAGCTCTCATCTCCCCTCCGCTCCCCTCCCTCTTGCATGGTCCAAACGGCCGACAGAGAAGCCCTGAGTGCGCTGGATGCCATGCCCCTGAAGCGAGGTCCACCTCGGGCTGAAAGACTTGTCATCGCAGGGGGAACACCGCGCCTGTTACCCCAGATTAGTCTAGTCTAGCATACTTCAGAGCCAAGCAGCACGTTTCATGCTTGGTTCCCGCTGATTTCGTGCGCAAGGTTTGCATGCCAGGGCACGAGGTAATCCCAGCTGTGATATTCCAGGAGCAAGCGCGTGGCCTCCAAGCGGAGATCCTGCAGAAGCTTTCGCCTTCAAACTCTCAAACCCTGCGTGGTTCCAGAAGAAGCGGGGAGCCCAACACAAGGACTCCATACATACGTACACAAATACATACATGTATATGTGTGTCTGTGTGTATGTATGCTCATAGTATCAGTAGTGCATCGGATCCTTGCTAGACGTAGACGCCTGGTAGACAAGAACGTTTGGCCGACTTCTCTCTCACCAAATCTGAACCCACCTGGCCCTAGCGACCGGCCTTGCTGGTGTGTGCTTGATCCGGCTCCATCTCCTCTTGATTTTGGGCCATGTAAGCTGATAGCAAAGCTTTCTATTCTCTTTGCATCTGGATTCCGTGGATAACAGCCGGAAAAGCACGAGAGTGAACTAATGCCACTGATTGGCCTAAGCTTCGTATTGTTGAAGTATGGCACCTGTTTGGAAATTTCCCTAGCTTTCCAGGAATGGCAGCTGCCACCTTTAGATTTGCATGAATCTGCTTCTTCGAAGGCTCTGTTCCGTGCCCGTCGCCATATCGCAGCTACTAAACTCCGTCGAGACCTGATCAACGGCTCAACCTCACTGAAGATCGCCCAGGATCTGAGATGACGAAGACGTTTTTGAGCTTTCTTTCGCGGATCCAGTCGTCCAGGCTTGGCCGCACCGTGCGAGGAGCGCAAAGGACATATCTGTCAGTGGAAGAGGCAGTATCTCGATCAGGAAAGAGCGGCAGCAAAGGACTATAATCCTAGCCAAGACACACGTGATGCTGCGTGTGGAGTAGCTCTATGGTTTTCTGCGCCTCCTGCGACTCCACTCGTTTAACTTCCCCTTCATTTCTTGGAGAAAGGCCGAGCCGGAGCACGGAGCAGCGAGGCTTAGCAGTTCGCGGGTCCTTGCCAGGGCCGGTGGACACCAAGAAAGCCACCTGGTTCAGGCGGCGGCTGCGGAGTGTACATGAGGAATCCGCAACATGGACGGCGGCAGCCATCTGCCTCTACAGTGACTCTACAGACTGCACCTGGCCGAGTTTTAGAATTTACAGCAAGAAGGCCGGGGGTGGAAAGAGGAGGAGCCACTGCAGAACTGACATGCTGGAAATTCTGAGTCTGTCACCTTGGCAGTCACGGTGGCGGGAAACTTGCGAAGCAAAGCCGTGCGGCCTTGACACCTTTCAGGCGGACTGGATAAAAAGGATTGGAGAAAGCCACGCGGTCTACTCCCAAGTTGCATCCTTGGAAAGTGTCGCAGCATCTGCCTACGAGGCTTGCTTCTCAAATGTCTCTGTGCACCCGCTCCGAACCTGTCAAACTGTTGAGTCGACCCCTGCAGCGCCCTAGTCGCTTGAGCAAAGGATCTCTGCTTCCGCCGCGAGCACGAGCAGGGGCACAGGCGCGAGCAGCAGCAGCCCGACGGTCCCCCGCCATGTCATGCCACCAACACTTCCAAATTTCGAAAGTTATGAAGATTCTGCTGAGCCCGACGCTCACCGCAGGTCTGTGCATGTTCCGGGCAGTTGAGAAGCATGTCATGCTGCAGCCGGCTCGAGCCAAAGCTTTGCGGTTGCGGCCCTGAGACAAAGCGATCGTCTGAAGTCATCTCAGCAGTCACTGCGTGAATTGGTCTGGAAGCTTCCAACCTCCTGCACCTCGCCGCTCGAACTGAACCCAGAACCCGGATCAAAGCCGCAGGCTCCACTACCGTGATCGAGGACTCGATGCTGGGCACCAAGTAGCTGAGCTTGTGGTACTCCGTCCTTGAGGGAAGTTGAGTTCATCCGAACCCCGAACCGACGAGGAGAAGAATCGTGAGCACCTTCCTTTCGCATGATCAACTCTTAGCTGGGGGCTCGATTGCGGCGTGGACGTCCAAAACGTGGACCTGCTCGACCCTTCTAATTCCAAGCCTCTTGTACTCCGGATGTCAAAACAACCAGTGTTCAAGGTAGCTTAGGCGGTGCAGCGCCCCGCAGTATTCGAGCACATGGTCGTGCAAGGACTTCAAGCCCGCGACGTTCAGCAGGTCGGTCCCGTTCAGCCAGTGCAGGCTAGCCTTCAAATTCAAGCGCGAACAGTTGCTTGTATGTATCAACTTCTTGCTGTGAGCTTGGGGGGAAAGGAACTCCAGGGAGTGCGCACTTTCGGATTGAAGAAGCAAACCTCAAAAGTGGCAGCACGCACACCGCTGAACCTCTTTCCTCCCCGTGAGTGAATCTCAATTCAAGCAATTGGCGAGGGAAGGAGGCTCGCAGGACAGAAGAACACGAAGTCAAACGCATGGCCCATGGCCCTAGAAGGTGATTTGAATCTTGGTACAGAGGTGCATAGACCGATAAGACCCCCACGGGCCTGCAGATTCAGCCGGAGCTGTGGCAACGTTCTCACGATGAAAACTTCAACCGGTAAGTCTGTTTGGCATTTGGGGACACCCCCGCGTCCTCAATTTCGTCAGCCCCAAACCCATCAGCACTCAGGTCCACGCATCGTCCCAAAACAGGGGCAAGTAAGACCTCAAGCTAAGGTACGTGCAGATTGCAGCACGCTTCGTGATGGATTGCAACGGCAAAGCGCCATCACCCGTCCGAGGCCGCAACAGGGCAGCATCGACATACTCTTGCTTTAGGAGGGTGTCGAAGCGCCAGCCTGTTGCACACAATCGTTCTTAGCCTGCTCAGGTGGCCATAAAGAACGTGACCACCAACTACAGACAACACACGGTTAGAAAATTTAGTCAACCTGCATCAACCTGGATGCACGGGATGCGCCAATGAACCAATGAGGCCGTGCAAAGCTCCAGCTAGCAACGAGGAAAATCTTAACAACTTAGGAGATTACTCAACCCTGCAATTGCAATCAGAAAACTCAAGCCCAATGCAACGATCCAAAATGCCGTTTGGTGGTCTCTGTCAACATGTCTATGCGAAAGCTCCCGAAAGCAATTCGAGCTCCCCAAACTGCCTGTCGAAGAAGGCGCTGACGAATCCTTCTTCGCATGGGCCAGCGTGTAAAGTGTGATCCTGGCAGGGGAGTGCTAGAAAAGGCTTGTTGCTGGAGCACTGCCCGGTGGGCCAGTGATCATCACAATATCTATGAGAAGTGGTTGCGCCCTGAGCTCTGGACCAGGTCCAGGGAGCGATGTCCACAGGTTCCGAACTCCGCTTCTGTGCATCGACCACCTGAACATCACGTCGTTTTCCTTACCGGGGCCTGAAAAAATGAGAATAAGGCATTGGGTATGATATGATATCTTGGAGGTTCCAGGGAACACGATTACTCATTCTTTAGGAAGCGAGAATTTTTGGAAGTGCGCAAGTCAATATGTAGGCTGGGCAAGCCGATGCTAGAGATTTCGGTTTTGCTCTGGCAGGCATGTGCAGCTTCCGGTGTCGCCGCCTGACGAATCGTCTGGTCCGTTAAGTCCTGCCTCAGCGCGCGTCGTAGCTTGCACTCTGACAGGAACTGTCGTTGGAACGGATCTGCCAAGCCCAGGAGACGAAGCGAAGGCGAGTCGGTCTGCTGGACCCGAACATCACAAGAACCGTCATAGTCCAAGGGCGCAAGACTCAACACCCATGCTTGACAGCCCCGTCATCACCTTCACCATCACGACAAGCATCGTCATCGCCACCATGATCATCATCGCCCTCTTTTTCTCCTTCACCTCCTTCAGCCAAAACAGCGCCGGCAGCCACATCCAAAGACCAAGCAGCAAGAACAGCATCAGGGGCAAAATCTAACATGGTCCAACTCTCCGAGGCCAGCACTGGCAGAAGTCTGCGGAGAGCACGTGCGACAGGGGCAGCTTCACTAACACTTCGTCCTTTTGCTTTTGGATTTAGGATCCGCCTGGCCCATTGGGGTTCTGGTGCTTTAAATTGATGCCCTGCGAAGGCTTCCGAGGGCTCCTCGACCGAAATGTCTGAGAGCAACAGCCGCTTGAGAAGTCCCATGCAGTGCAACGTCCTTCGCCACACTTTCGGTAACCTCCAAACGCCGATCGTAGCGACCTTGCACTCTGGGTGGATTAGAACGATTTTCTCGATAAAATCGATAAAGCAACAATACCTCATGGGTCGCTGAGTTTTCGGCCTTTCTCGCTGAGGTAGTCGTTGACAATCTGCACAAGCGCATCACAGCAAAACGTCCAGCTGTCCGCCCAGCTGTGCGTGCTGACATTGCTACTGGGAGGATCTTACGCAAGCCAGTCGACTCTAAAGCATGGAGAAGAGAATCGGTTTCGTTGTTTGTGGTTCTCTGCTCGTCAGGCACTGAGGCATGCTCCAAGACTGATTCCCAGAATCTGCTCGACTTTGCAGGAAGCTACCTTTGTCTGTTTATGTAGCGGCGAATTGCTCGTCGTGTCATCCTGCTGCAAGAGTACAATCGGAAACCACACCAACAATTACCAATCTCACGTTATCGCGATGACTTTTTGGGCAAAAGCTTCGAGCTGAGCATCGTTTGTACTGTGATAGTACGCCCTAAATGCCAGGAAAACTATGCATCATTGACGCTCAGGTACCTCGACAGTGCGGAAGGTGTTGCAACGTGGGATTCGGAATCTAAATTTGACGTTGCTCCACAAAAAGTCTGGCGTTTATCATGGTTGATCTTGGTACTTCAAAACACAACCTCCCAGGCAATGGCCAATTCGCGAGCTTGATCAGTCACATCAGTCGTGCTCGTCGACCGTTCTATATTGACGTAGAGCTCGCGCGGCTACCGTGTAGTCCCTAGACCTAGCCGTGGCTATGCTCGACTGCATGAAGCAGCAGTCTCCCCGAGGTGGCATGACATCACAGATCCGTTGATCATGGCACTTCCACGTATCCCGGGACATTCTCAAGCCCAATCGCACAAAGACTTAAGCTGACAGCAACATGAGTTGCAAGTATGCAAGCTCCGAAGTCGAAACTCTTGCAGTTTCAGAGCACCGAAGACGAGCCGGGCTCCCGACAAGTTTGCTGCTGACCCAGCCGCCTGGGCCACCTTCAATCCTGGCGCAGTCAGCTTGGGCGAAGCACTTTAGATTGGAAGAAGGCGCTTTTTGCTACGCATCCGTTCCAAGGCAGGTCTTCTGAAGTCAGAAGGTGTCCATCTTCCAGGACACTAGGCGACGACGAGCGATCTGTAGTAATTCAAGAACAGAGCAACGGAAAAGTGTGGTCGGCCCGCCACTTCTTCAGGTTGGAGAACTGCTCGGCCTCACCGCAAGGCTGGAAATCACGCACCGTTCCTATTTCATGCCCATCGGCTGGCGAAGCTCTCACTCTTGATATCGGGTAAGGAATGCCTTCAGCTGGTTAAGGCCGGCGCGGTGACGGCACTGGCAGTGGCATTCCTGCATTGCAGATGCTTCCAAACAATCCGGCACTGCCATTCCTCGAGCTGCAAGCGCCGATGGCATGCACAGAGCCCGGTTGCCACGTGAGTTCAGCGCTTCACTGCGGTTCGCCCTCATCATAGAGTTTTTACTTTTGCTTGGGCTTTTGGAACCTGCACTTTTTGCGCTGAGACTGCCTTGTGCGGGCCAGGTCAGCCGTACCCCAGCCGAATTAGCCATACTAATGCTGAGGGCTATACTGATGTCATGAATTTCGCTGAGCACCCGAGCTTGTAAAGCTCTTTCTGCAGCCCGTGCGCATCATGATGAAACCACCTCAGCGGAGGTTCTGTTGAGTTAGCATCAACTCCTGAGGTCCATAGTGTTCGTGAAGTGTGAGTTTTCTATTCAAGCTGCTGCACTGCAAAAAGAAGCGGCTCACAACGTTTGGCTGTGGCCTGGTGAGGATCAATGTGGCGCTCCTTTGCTTGCAACACTGGCTTCTATAGGCGCCTTGTCGACTGGGTTTCCGGCCGCACCGGGTTCCACTCGTCGAACTGTGGCGAGATAATGCCTTTGGGAACCAGGCTGCCGATCAATGGGGATTCCATGACGTTACACGGATCTCTTTCATCGACTGCAACTCTCATAACTTCTTTGGGTGGATGCAGCATACACATGTATTATGTATGCCCTCCAATTGCTGGCCCTCGCCCTCTGAACTTCCACGCGTTTTCGGCCACAGCGCTCCCAGCACGTGTTAGCTCCCCTGTGCGTTCTGCCCCTTCGCGTTTTGAAAGCTGCAAAGAGGCTGCCTATACAGATTCTGCATACTCTCCTCAAGGCAAGGGAAGACCCGTACTTGTCCTCGCATGTTCAAGTTTTTGCGCTAGTTTAGACGGAGGGACGTAGTCTGCACTCAGCATTGTATCGAGGTCTGCTGATGTTTACTGGAACAAAGAAGGCGTTTGAAAGAAAGGCTCTGAATGCGGGCGGCGAGCTTGCGTGCCCAACTGGCATCGAAGCTCTGAGCTCCCTTGCGCGGGATTAGCCGTGTCCCCTGCGCAGTTGCAACCGGAAAATCGATTAGCTGCCATCCTGTCCGAATTTGCATCTGCCCTCCTCAAAACAGATGCGTCTTGCTAACACACGAGAACTCGGGTGAAACGAGACAGATTCCTTCTCATCTTGCTAAGCTACAAGCATGAAGGGATTCAGATTCGGACCTGGGGTCCAAGTATATACAGGCCAGGGTTTTCGGCCCGTCAGACGAGAAGATGGACTGAGGTGGCATTTTCGCAGCTGGAGCGATCCACTCTTTTGATCTCATCGCGTGAGATGGGCACCTTAAGGTCCGAGAGGGTTTGCAGAAGATCCTCGAGGACGCTCTCCTCGACCACAGGCTTTCGGGTTGCAATCTCCACCACTTTCATCAGCTCTGACCAGCCTCAGTCGGGCAAACATTTAAACAGCAAGGCCCTCCCTTTCGAGCGCCCGAAGAAGATGTGCACAAACTGAATCCTGGATTCTGGCGACCTTCAACTCTCAGTTGAAAGGCGAAGCAATGCCACAGACTTGCACAGACAGGACACAAGAGTACAAGATCATTGCGTCGTACTTGGTCCCTGAACCACTTGGGATGATGTCAACGACAGCGGTGGGCATGCCGATGAGAGAGCCTCCGGGAAAACCTCCCGGAATCGAGACATACTTTCTGTATACGCCAGTCACGCCTTTGCTTTCATAGTGCTCCTTGATCGTGAAGGGGCTGCCGCGGTAGAGGACGCTGAAGTTGGACTCTAGGCGGCCAACATCATGCCGGAATTCCAACTCTTGGCAGGAAGCACCGCCCTGCGCGAAGTCGGAGTAGAGCTGCCTAGGTCAGCAGCATCTGCCATGCCCTACCTTCTCACACCTGCCAGTACGGTTTGGCACTTCTGTCGCTGAGAGCACACATTCCTCACCTTGATACAGCAAAGCAGTTAAAGAAGACCCAGTACCTTCCTACAGTTGGCCCACGCATTATGAACCTTCTTCGGAGATGTTTGTTCGACATGGGGAGAAGTCAATTCATGGAAGCTCCATTCCTGTCGGGACGCTCATACCACATTCCATCCAGCTTTGCCGGGTCGAAGCCATTCTTCACCTGAAATAGTCGGAAACGACACCCGGTCAGTCTACCACATGATTGCAAGGCACATGGCGGTCTGACGCAGGCCACAGCACTGAGTACGAAAAACACCTCAGGCCTCAAGTCATGGCGTCCCGAGAGCTGAAGTGAGCCCAAACGAAGCAGAGTTACCCGATCGCTTCGGAGCTCTGCCACTGCGTCGAAGGAACCTGAGAGTGGGTGTGGGTCCGAGTCTGTTTCGATGTATCTAATGTCGAGCCTAGGCGAGCGAGTCCAATGCCTCTTCCGCCTGACGTTACGCGATTCCATCTCCATGTCCCCTTCCTCAATGCTCCAAGCGACAGTCTGCGGATGAAGACGTGCACAATAATGGCAGCAGCAGCCAGAGGATCCTTTTTGTCAGGATTCTGCATCCGGAGTAATGCAGAAAATTCACGAGGCACACATGCACTATACCAAAACCGACCCATCCACAGTACGTACCCTGCCACCATTCCCGCACACCCAGCCACCCACCCATCCGCCCCCTCACCTTTTCCCCCACCCACCCACATCAAGGTCTTATGTAGGCGAAGTCGGGTCAAAGAATGGTAGTTGTGGGCCGAAGTCTAAATTGTCTTGATACCGTCAATGTTGCCATCTGCAAAAGCCTGCAAAAGTCGAAACACGAAGAATTTCAAGCATCGAAATAAAGACCGGGAGAAGTACAAGTAAACCCTGAGAGCCGTTGCAGTCATGGAACCTACCTCTCAAAACAGATTCGATGTAGGGGTCCTGAGCTAAGCCGCGGCAACCAGCCATGCTCCAGGGTTGCCTCCCGCCCCCCCCCCCCCCACTTCCTTTGCAACACGGAATTTACAGCACTACCCTCCGCCATCACTATAAGCTGTCTGTGCGCGCAGGCATTTATATACATATATATATATATATGTGTGTGTATGCGTGTATTTTTTGCCTCCTGCATGGCTGAGTACACACAGCTGTACGTACATATATATATATATAAGCTTCCGTGGTGGATGTGTGCATAATTCGTATGTGCACATTGTCCATACCTATAGTACACACATACATACATACATACATACATATGTACATGTGTACAGACATATCTACATTATGTTTCATATATATATATATATAGATATATACATGCTAATGTTTCTGTCTACGCTGTCTGCACAGGGCGACGCGGATATGGCGTGCTGAGAATGTATTTGACAAGAAGGCTCAAGAACTTGTGACCGTCCCAAAGCTGTCCTCAAGTGCCCCATGTTGGCCGGAGAAGCGGCTCTCTGGTTCCCGCAAGATTCTTGAGCCGAACTGGACATCATGGTCCTCGCTACTCACAGAAGAAAACAAGATGCTCGCGGTGATTTTAGTGGGGATAAGATGCAGTAAGAATCATGAATACGGAGACTCCGTCGAGAACAAGAGCAAACAACACCGATTACAGCAGCAAGAAGGTTGCGCTGCCACGGTAAAGGCTTATTTCGGCATAGTGTGACTCCGCATAGCTGAACGACAAAAACACTGCCGCCAAGCTGTTGACTGTTCATCCGCATGGGTGCTGCATGGCCCTCTGGACGTCAGAACAGCCCGAACCGAGTCCATGTAACCTTCGCTTTTGTTGGAGTCTAACCTTGGATTTCATTGGATTTCCTTCACGCAAAATTTGGGCACCCAGCCGAGCTTCTCTCCAACCCAGATCAGCGCATTCACCGCCTCGGTCGGGAAATGATATGGACAAGGTTGCTTGAGTGTTCTGCACCCCTGCGCTTTCGGAGTAGTGCGGCTTCATGTTCCTATGCAAAGGCTTGAGCCATTGAGATACGATGCAGGCTCGGTTTGCCGGACGTGAATTCAACTAACTTCAGATCCTGCAGCGCTTCAATCCCGACAAGCAGGTACTGTAGTAGTGGAGGGGTGAGGAAGCAAAAAAGAGAGAGAGAGAGAGAGAGAGAGAGAGAGAGAGAGAGACAGAGAGAGAGAGAGAGAGAGAGAGAGGCTGAGCAGCAGGGAGACAGAAAGGAAGGGAGGGGCTCTGGAGGAGTGGGTCCACTGTACTTGGACAGAGATTCTCTTGGCACAACACATTGAGGAGCGGGCGCAGTAAGCTAAAAGAATCCAGAAGATGTAGTCGAAGAATATCCCCATGTACTCCTAGCTGCGTGTGGGCGTGTGGAGGCGAGTGGTGCTCTTGGGAATCGCTGATCAGAAGAATAGCTGCAAGAAGTCTTCGAACATTTTGCTGAGGTTGACTGGTACTTGTTCGACCCTCAAGGCTGCAAGTTATGGTGCCAGACCTGTGACTTTCCATGGGCACCCTTCGATGCAAGAGCAAGTAGGCTGGTCTCTGCACCTTGCCGTGCAAGTTCCGTCCTGTAGCTTTGTAGGCTGCTCCTCTTCGAAGACGAAGCCTTCCTGTGGCCGTGGCTTATGCAAGCTAGCTGAGTCGTTCGAATTTGGTCGTCCTCTTGTCGGTTTCCATCAGCGACAAGTATGCTTCCGGAACACTACATCTAGCAGCAAGCGCAAGGCCCTCAAGCCGTTGGACGTCTATCCATTTTCTGCGAGAGGGACGACGGGTTACGAAAGCAAGGCTCAGCACGAAAATATTCTTGTCATGCAAGATTCTCTTAGTCTTACCAGTCGATCATCAACATCATCAATCAGGATCGAATCCACCTATGACGGTCTCCGGGAGTGCATGCACACCCTGCGAAGGCCAAGGCCACGTCAGCTGCCACTGCTGCATACAGCAAACCCAAGAAGCAACCTTTCACCGCCAGAAGCTGAAAGCAAACCAGGCGCATGCTTTGCAAACAAGAACCAGATTACCATGATCACGATCTCAGATATCTTCTTGGTCATTTGCCCGGGCTTGCGCACTGTGAGAAACGTTGATGCACCGCCCATCTCTAGAGTCTCGAAGTCTTCCTGATCAGCATCGTCGCCCTCGTCATCCTCCGCTTCCGTGACTTTCCAGTCCTTAGGCATAGGGCCCAGAAGGCCTGTAGGCATAGCGCTTGCGGTCTTGCGGCACTTGCCTTGAGGAATGTGCTGTGTTTTCCACGTACACCCGGCTCGTTTCCAAGCTCACAAGCTGCAGCAAGCTCAACACGAGTCTAAGCTGGAAGGGTGCAGGACACATGGCTTACATTGAGGGAGCGTGTGTCCGACGTATCGTCCCGTATGGTCAAATAATTTGCGATCATCCAAGCAAGCATCCTCAGAGCCGTGCGTAGTGCACCGGGACAGGCCTTCGTCTCAATCCACCTGAGACAACCATGACAACCATAAAGCGAACTACCTCCAGCGACAAGCAACTATCACGGGTATGTCGCGTCACCGCGAGATACCTTATGCGGATCGCTTAGCAAGGAGCCGCAGCCTGAACCTTCCTGCAGTGCATGCGCTTCATGTCTCAACATGTCAACTCTCAAATGTTTACATCCAAGCCTCGGAAGCGAAGTTAGCTGCACCTGCTCGGCTAGGACATGATCCCCAACCCAAAACCCCATATGACCGACCCTAACTTGGAAGCCCCAAAGCGTAAGCCTCAAGATTCAACTGAGGTCTGTGCCATCCGAGGAGGATCCAGCAGTTGGCGGTGGAGGCGGTCTTAGGAGGCTTCCAGAGGCACTGTCAGGACCACAGCGGATACCACAAAAGTACTGGAAGGCAGAGTCTACGGGGTACGATAGGGTATTATGGCTAAGATATGGTAAGAATACTGCTCTCCCTACGAAATCCTATGAAAAGACATTTTGGGACTGTGGACTTGGCATCTTATGGTCTTATGGCTACGGACGAGGTACTGGACTGACAACAAGATCGTGATCATCTTCCTGACGCAGTTCACGACTGAGTCTTGAACGCACTCATCGTGACCTCAGGGGCCCGTTCTGTCCGCAGGTTAGTCTCGCAGTTTTTAAAATCCTGCTGACGGGAGGAGCCCTGTAAAGCTCCGGGACTGTTGCCGGTTGCTTGACAACACTGCCGAAGCGATGCTAATCGAAAATAGGCGAAGAAGTTGCAAGCTGGGATCCTCGCGGGCCCGCCAAGGTCTCTGCTGTGCAACTTTTGGGCCAAACCATGCCAAAATGATGGTGCAATTGCAGCGACGGGGCGTGTGGGAGCAGGAAGAATATGCGAAGCGTGTCGTTCATATGGCACCACTTCCATCTCACTGCAGGCATGGACAAACGCCGTGCTTGTTGCCTAGGCCGTGCAACAGGAAGAAGGCGCCGAAGGCAAATGTTTGGAGCTTTCATTCGCACCCGATGCACGAGCTTTTCGTGAAAGGCAGAAGACGCATCCCAGGGCTCATGGTAAACATTCGTCTCCAACCCTAACATGCACAGCCTGGACGTCCAACGTGCATCAACTCCGAAAGCCCCAAACCTGACTTCAATCCATCAATCATTGCATCATGCGGCCTCGGTGGTGCCCTTGAGGTGAGACCGGCGCACTAACCGTTCGGAAGTTCCGGGGAGACAACATCTTTTGACATTTGGACTTTGCTCCTGCACCTTCCGTAAATATGCCACCAACAGTTGACTGCATCCACGCATCTACAGCCTATCCAGCAGCTTTACCAATAACTTCAACTTCCTCTGCGAAGCTTTATGATTGGATCGTTTTTGATGAGCCACGGTGGGTGCTGCATCCCCAGAGCTCCGCCTACGCAAAGGCAGGCCAGGCCTTCTCAGCCTGATTGGCTTGTGAAGCTCAATTCGGAGGGCGTCCTTCCACGTCCAGCGGGATACCAACTACACGTAAGTGAGGCAACTGGAGCAGGACTGGACAGTGGACGGTGGAGTTCAAGAAGGGCTCAGCTTCAGCATCTATCCGAATCCTACAAGATTGTAAAGACCACACACCTGCAAAGCCTTGTGTTTCGCCGATAGCACCTAGAACCATGCAGCTGGCCTTTATCAGGCGGGCACCGGTGCCTGTTTCGGCAAGCACGACCATCTAGGACTTGGTTGAACATGTGTTGCTATGAAGGTCGTGATCAGAACCGTGTTGCTGCCATGATTTGGTGACTGCCAACACATCAGTCTTCGTGCACCTACAGCTGTCCGCAACATCACTTGATGTATTCGCTTCTTGCCACTGTTGCTGCGGCGGTTGTTGGTGGTGGTGGTGGTGGTGATGGTAGTGATGAGGATTGTGATGGTCATGATGATGTGCCCTTGTTGTTGTTGTTGTTGGAAAATGGTCCGAATGTCGCCGCAGCTGTCGTAGTCAAACGCTATTAGTTATAAAGTATTGTTGCTCTGTGTTCGGCAGGTCAACGCCATGATTGTCCCAATTATAACTGCGCACGTCTCAGAGCTGGACCGGAGTTTCCATGCGGGCCCTTTTTGGAGCGTGGCCTGAGAATCACAGCACAGGCCGGACATCTTGCCGCTGATCTCCTTCTGGCTGCGCAGTAGTTTTCTTTCTTCCTGTAGATCGCCGACCGGCCAGAAGCCGACAGAAATGCCTGTCGACCATAGCGTTCTCCATAGATATGCATCCTGCACAGCATGTGTATGCATCTGCTGTGGGGCCGGCTCAAACGTGCTCCAGCCTGTTGGTTGCTGTCCTGCATGCAGAGGTCGCGGTTTGTCCGGTTTTTCTCTCTCCAGGTGCCATGCAAGCTGACAGGCTCTGTTCTGGTGCGCTCTGGACTTGCAGATTCCCGAACGTCCTGCACCTTGGGCGGCCACACTTCCACCTCATCACGGAACCCAGAGAGTAAGAAGTAAAGAGAGAGCTCGACTTCGGAGGTGCTAATCCTGCCCAAACGACCCCAAAGCTCCAAGTTCTACAGCGCCCAGGCGGTGCAGTAGAACTTAGACCTCACGGACTCTCAGATCCAGAATCGATACCTTTTCCGGCTTTTACGACGCTGGGATGATTTTATCCTGGGGGGTTGGTCACCGGCGTGATGCTCATGCAACCTCTGCACGAGGAATATCCCTACAGTAGCACGGCCGCAGCTGGATGCCCAAAATTCTAGATGCACTGCTACAGCAGTTGTAGCAATCGGCATGCACCTCAAGCTTGCGAACCTTGCTATTCGGTTGTTTGCATTGAAAGTTCCTGCCATTCTTCTCGACTCTCCCAGCAAGTTCTCAACTCTGTTCCGCAAATCGTGAACTTGTTGTCGCGCTCTGTCTGCTAGGTGCCATGCTGCGGAAATTTGGTTTACTTGCAGGAGGATCTCAGGCTGAAGCCCCCTTGGCTGCCGCACCGGCGAGGAATCTCCTGACTTTAAGGAATGCTTTCATCACTCCCTCCCTCGGAGGACGGTGAGGACGTAGTACAATGTAGCACGGTCACAGTTTTACAAGCGCAAAGCGCCGAATGTGCTCGGCGTTGTGTTGTTACCCCCGCAAACAGCAGGTGTCCTGTGGAATAATGTGGAATACAGTACTTGACGCCACGAGGGGGCAAGCCAACAACCGCATGCCACTACGAATGGAGACGTCTGTCTCAATTTGCTCCCGCATCGCAAGCCACAGCAAGCAAGGCAGGCTCTCTCTCTCTCTCTCTCTCTTCCTTCCTTCCTTCTGCTCTCTCTCCCTCTCTCTGTCTCTATTGCTTGCGTGCTTGCTGCGTGTATCTTTTTCACCCTCTACATATAGATATGTATATGTATATATATATATATAGATACATATGTATATATAAATATACACATACACATCTCTCTCTCTGTGTTGAAATGTAAGAGTTTTCCACCGTGCCGTTTATGTGTGTTTTAACAAGTCACAGCTGCCGAAAGAAGTGTGGTTTCTGCTGCCATCCTTTTACTTGCTGGAATCAATATTCTTGCAGATGGCGCACCTTACCGTCACCCATGTACCACATTCTCAATGATTTACTGTCACCGCTGCCGACGCTTCGACACAGGGGGATGGCACTACCAATTGCTCTATCCATGGTCGCAAAGCTGTCTCCTGTAGCGGTTCCAACTCTTGTCGCAGGTGGCACGAGCGACGGAGTGTGGGGTGCCTGGAGAAGCAAGCTTGCGCTCGCTTACGCTCTCACACTCCAGGGTTACGAGTTGACAACTGCCTGGTGGCTCTGAGGGGCTTCTGCCTGGATTTACCTGCCTGGGTTTTTTTAGGGGTTGCATATATGCAAAACGCCAACAGGCATGCAAGCAACGCTGACAATCATAGCATGCTGCAGTCTTCACGGCTACTGAGTTGCACTCAATGCAGGCATTCCCGCCGATCACAAAAAAGAGCGTGCGAGAGTGTACAGTACTTCGAATGCTGGTTTGATTGGAGCGTCGTCGTCGTTGCCGCAACTTTTCGTTGACATACGGCATTACGTGGGAAACTTCCGAACCGCTCCCAACGCGTGACGCAGCAGGCTGATCTCAACCTCAATGCACGGTGACTAACATGGCCTGAAACTGAAGCGTCCACCCTCCCGTCGGCCTGACACGCGAGCATCCGAAGGAGCTGTTGCAGCCTGCTTTGTACGCAAGTCAACCAAATCGGCTGACCGAGACAAGCGATTGAAAACTCACCGAAGCATGTCTTTAAAGGTCCCCTTCACGGGTCTGTTTGTGGAACAGGGAGGCTGATGACGATTGGCTTTGATCCCGAGCGTTCCGGACGTTTCAGGACGTCCAGAAACTTTCAAGACAAGCCTGAAAGCTGGCAGTTGCTGGCACTTGCCAGGCATAGAGAGCCCGAGTTCCACCTGCAATATCTGCAGCAGGCGCAGCCAACACCGCCGGTTCATTGCTTCCACAGGTACTTGCAGTACTCGTCAGCCCAAGATGCCAGGCGGTGCGCAGCACTTCGTTCGCATGCGCTGGTGTGAAGGGCGGTTTGAAGAGAAGCGTGACGTGGGGCACGCAGTCTGGGTCCATCGGGAGACCGTCAGACTCCATGTGGAGAGACATAGTGAGAAGCGCATCCTCGGCATAGACGAGATGTCTTCCTCGTACTCTCCAGCTGGAGCCTTGAATGTGCAGCGCCGCCTCCACGCCGTGGCATCGAAGAGCTTCCAGGACGGCCCTGTGGCTTCGACTACAGGCCGGTACGGCGGTACAGGTACAAGACAGTACAAGTACAAACATGTTCTACAGGCGGGCAATGGCAGTGCAGGAAAAACAACCAGGTCACCTGGAACCTCCCAAGAAGAAGGTTGTCATGTGCAGCGGTTTCGGCCAAGCGAAACTCGAATGCGACCCCAAGCGCGGGTTTTCAAGTTTCTGAAAATCCTGTCGGCAGTCCAAAGGCTCCAGGTCGCAAGAACAGCATGACCGCGTGTTCAAAGGAGGGACGACCAGTGGCACTTGCAGAGTATTCTCCAGTGCAGAAGCGAAAGCTCTAGCCAGTTGGGCGAGGCCCAGATCATGGGGTTCCAGGTTCAAGCCTCCAGGCACTAGATTGCAATGTTCCCCCTTAGATTGTCGTCCCTGTTGTATGCTATGATCTTATCGCCGTCGTGTAGCAGCGGCAGCAGGCGGTGGCGGTGGCGGTGGTGGTGGTGGTGGTGGTGGTGGTGGTGGTGGTGGTGGTGGTGGTGGTGGTGCTGCTGCTGGTGCTGGTGCTGGCGGCGGTGCGGTGGTGATCATCGTGGTCCTCACTGTTTTGTTATGGTAGCTGCTGCTGCTGCCGTTCTTGTTCGAACTCTTCGAAAGAAGACATGCATTAACTCCGTTCCTGTGGCATGTAAGGTGTACTGAATTCAAGGCAGAGAGACCCAGGTAGTGCGGTATCCGGAGCTGCCAACTTGGGCCCTGAGCCCTGGATGCAATGACACGAGGGGCGTTCTCGAAATAGTGTCCCCCTCCTATCAGGGCAAGTAAATCGCCCATGTTGAGCTCGTGAAGACAAGAGACAGACCTTTGCTCACTCCCTGCCTAGTTCGATTCTTTGCGGAGTTTTTTGCAGCTCCTCCTCTGGCTCGAAATAATATTTCGGCACCTCTTCTCGAAACGGAGGGTGGTCTTTCGAGCCCTTCCAGCGGGCGCCCTTTGGATAGTTATCCTTGGGATAAATCGTCCTCGTACCCTTGGATTTCGAGTCTCGCGGTTCCTGCGAACCCTTGGAACCTCCCTTCCAACAGTCCCAATACCCAGCTCTACCCAAGCCTGGGAAGGCATCTGCAAGCTGCAAGGCCTCTTCGGCCTCTTCTAGGCTCTGGGATGTCACGCTGTCTCCTGGAGAGCCTTGAGCCTGCTCCCTTGCTTCGGCTGGGTCCTGCTGCCCAGTGAACTCCGGCTTCGCGGCCTCCTTCTCACATCGAATGGGCAACGCCTCCATGACTGTACTGCATATCCTTCGCTGCCTACTGCCACCCAAAAACAGAGTGAGCATCTCCTGGGAGCTTCGTCGGGCCTTTCGGATGCCCTTGTGCTGCAAGACCACGGCCGGAGGCAGTCGATCAGCCGCCATGGCTGAGTGGGGCAGGGAGGTGTTGGGCTTGGGGTCATACAAATGCTACATTGAAGCTAGCCCTGGATTGGTACTGTGCCGCAATCGAACTCTTGCCTGATGGGTCTCCTGTGATGCACAGACCAAGCACGGGCAGCGTAGCAACAACGGTAGGCGTATGGGACAACCGTGTCAAAGCATAAGAGGAAAGTCCCTCAGCGCTTGGGCAAAGTTGCAGCAGCGCAATCTGGCACAACTCATTCAATAGAATCGATGCCTTCGCCGTTGCAAAGGCAGTCTATCGGAAAGTACAAGACGATTGGAAATCAGAACAGCGGCAACTGAAATAATTAGGAGGCTTCGCCGGCCTTAGCTTCAGCTGCTGAGACCGTGCCGTCGTTTGGGGCACTGGCCTTCGGCTGAAATGCCATGAGGAACTCAATTTAGGGCGGTTAGGGCTCAAAGTTTGGGGTTTACGCTCTCGCAACCCTCTGAGTCCGCCTCCATGATCTCTCTTGAGATCATGGCCTTCAGCTCCTCGATGGTGCAGTTGTCCAAACTTTCCTGTCCAGGTAGACAGGGCTGTGCTTAGCATCCTTCCACTGCAAGACTTCTCCAGGTCCACATCAAACAGCCCCGTTTTGGTTAGCCTGATGCCCATGGCCTGTTTACCTGAACGCTTGCTCTCAGGTGCCAGCGATACAGGCTATGTCGGTTATTCGGTTTGCCTGGCTGAGAGTCGCATTCTGGCATGATCTTTTGCATGGCCCACATGGTCCGCATGAAGAGACTGGCTGGCTTTGGTCCACACCTCCACTGTCATCTACACGCTCACAGATCTGCATCTCCACACCGTCTGGCCACAGCCCTGCAAAATCTCCGACAGTGGCAAAACCTCGGGTTTAGTTGTATTCCTTGAACCCTGCTGGGCCAGCATTGCAGTGGATGTTCTGCAAGTGGCAAGACCTGTTGTCCTACGAGAAGTTGAACTTCAGATGTCAAGCGGACTAGCACTTCCGCAGGTTCACCCAAGGAAGCCAGAAGCCGAAGCGCTCATCGACTGATGTGCAACAACATGCATCCACTGGTGCAATGCACACTGGCCTCGCTGGCAGTCCCACCTGTCCAGGACTAAACAGTTGAAAGCTTGAGCGATGACCTGACTGCAACCCTTCCCAGCAAAAGACCTATGCTGAGCATGCTGAGCCCAGCCTGAAGCATCGCCACTTTGAGCCATGCTCTCCTGATCAGCCAAACGTTTTCCGACAGGATACCGCCAGCAGCACAAAAGCAAGAATCACTGTCTCTGACACAGCGGAAATTCTGATTGAAGCCCGGGACGTCCGAAAAGAAAACCTGGCAAACACCAGCACACCCCCCAAGAGACGCTACATCCCTCCAACACACCGAGCGGATGGGCAGCCATTACCTGAAGATTGTTGGCTCTGACTTCGATTCTTCGGGCTCGCCCGACATCCGAAAATTCTGAGAAACCAAACTTCAAAAAGCTCGCACCCCCGTTCAGCATGAAGTGATCCCACTGCCTACTTCAGCACACTTGGGATGTGGGCTCACTTGGGACTCATATGGTTTTCTAAGCATCGCGTTTTCTTCGAGGCTTAGCAGGATGGTGGCTCTGGCTCTGCCGCAAGGCGGCATAAGCTCTCATCTGTCAAAGGGACCCTTTCCCCACCCGCGCCAGAAGCACCAACATGGAATGGGCACTTTACAAATACAAACTTTTGGATATGCCGGACAGCCTCACCACTGAGCTTTTGGATTGCCGGGGCGCAAGTGTGGCCAGATCAATGGCTTCTTGGATTCGTCTGCGGGCTGAAAAAGCCGAACAATGTTCATGGAGCCGAGGGCTACCGGCCCATCGTGTATCGTTGTTGGAGTGGTCTCCGGGCACGGCAGCTTCTTCGCCACTTCAAGAAAATCATGCCCGCCACGGCTCTCGGCTTCCTGCCCGGCCGTGAAACCACTGACTTTTGGTGGCAACTTGAGGCTTTGGTCGAGCTTTCTTGTCTGGAAGTGAAGGGACGGAGCTTTGTGGTTTCTCGACTGACATTGTTAAGGCATTTAATGCTCTGCCTCGCGAGCCCATTTGGCGGATTGCTGCCCAAATCGGGTTCCCTTCCTCGGTGCTTGTCCCTTGGCGGGATTTTCTGGGTCGCTTCGAGAGGCGTTTTCTGATAAGGCAGTGTGTCAGTGAGCCCCTGTTCTCAACCGCCGGCTTCCCCGAGGGATGCGCATTAAGCACAACTGCCATGAACGTGGCCTGCCTGATCTTCCACTCATACCTCGAAGTCTTCGGCCGTGGAATTACTCCCCACTCTTACGTTGATGCGCCGCCGGAACCGCAGGGCAGCTTGCTCTGGGGGTCAACCTCAGCCGCTGTGTGATGGACCTGCTCGACCTCACTCCCGACGACAGTAAAACATACACCTGGGCTGTCCAACCAGGTTCTCGCAAACAGCTCCAAGCCCTTGGCCTCCCAACCTGCACTCATGCTCGCGAGCTTGGAGGAGTTCTGTCGTTCGGTCGTGCCACTCGCAATGCCGCTCTTGTTGAGCATTGCCACGACACTGCTGAGTTGTTTGCTCGCCTTAGGCGCTCCCCGGCCCCACTGCGGCATACAGTTTTTGCCTTGCCCAGAAAAGTCTGGGCCCGGGCCCTGCACGGCATTTCCATCTGTCCTCTGTCCGAGGCTCAGGTTCACTCTTTGCGTTGCTCGGCAGTCAAGGCCCTTCGTGTGTGCCCTGCAGGCTGCAGTGCCCTTCTCAGGCTCTCTATCCACTCTGATCTCGAAGCCGATCCCAGCTTCTACCAATTGTGGGTCGTTGTCCGCGATCTTTGTCCGGATCTTTCTGGTAACTTTGCCTCCACGGCCACAGGCCCAGGGATTCAGCATTTGTTCACTGATGGATCCTGCATTTATCCCGATCTGCCCGAGTTGGCTTTGGCATCCTGGGGCACAGTCAATGCAAGTTCGGGCCAGCTTATTGGCAGTGGGCCGGTTCCAGGTTTGGCCCAAACGATTCCGAGGGCTGAAATGTGGGCGGCGATTTGCTCTCTCAAATGGGGTCTCTTTTGCCTCGTCTCCGTCATCATCTGGTCTGACTCCGCCTATGTGGTGAGAGGCATTCGTGCCATTTTGGCGAACGCCTTCGTGCTTCCTCGGGAAAACTCTGATTTGTGGGCCTTGATCTTTGACCTGACTGCGCAATACGACCCGGGTACACTGCAAGCTCAGCACGTCCCTTCACATATTGATGTTCAGGCCTGTGACTCGCCTCTCGATGAGTGGTTGGCTTTCTGGAACGACAAAGCCGACCGGCTTGGCGCCCATGCCAACGGCAATCGGGGGCTCAAACTTGCCGGCGCGCGCCAAGCTGCTGTCTCCTTCTACTTCGAGCAGACCGCCATCTTGGAGGCCCTGTTTCTGGTGTACTCGCGCATCGCCGACTCCACCAGCGCCCGGGCCAAGAGGCCGCACAACGAGCCTGTCTCCGCTTTGCAGACGAGATTCCGCTCGACTGGCTACACCAAGTTTCACTTGCATGTCAGGCTTTTCCCAGCCTCTTTGTTCGTAAGATCTTTGATTTTTTTTACTTACGGGACGCTGCCTCCCCAGAATGCTTCAGGCTCAGCTGGTTTGACCTGGTGGTGATGTTTCTTCAGGGTGGCTTTGCTGAGTTTCCGGTTCGTCATCTTACGTCAGGCCTCTGGGTTGAAGCGGCTTCCTCACCCTTTTCTCAACTGCCCACTACCCTGATTGTACAGCTCAGGGTCTTCAGGATGTTCTGCGCAAGGGTTTGCGGGCACTCAGGCTTGGAGGGCCTTTGCGTTGACGGTATCGATTTATCTGCTCTTGGGGTTGGGTTTCCTCAGGACGGTATTCTTGTTGGTTGTGATTCGACAGCCCTCGAAGCTGCCCGGCTAGCGATTTCCAGCTTTTGCACAGGCCGTGCAGTACAGAGGGTTGCGGCGCTGGCTCGACCTTTTCCTTTGGACTAGTCCGACTGACCTGGACTGCTGCGCGCTGCACCGCCCTGCTGTGCATGCGCCCTCAGACCGTTTGAGATGCAAATACGAGCTTTGACCAACATTCATTGACGATGTGGAAGGGGACTTAGGATGGCAATATGGGATTCGTGCTCTCTCACTACCTAGTCCGACAACTTTTTGCTTTGGTTTCGAAAATGTCCACATGAATTCCGACAACTCGCCCTTGATTCTACCACAACTTGTCGGCGATTCTACCGATCTGCATGCATGACTGACTGCTGATTCTTCGTTGCTTCTAGTGCGGACTTGCTTGCAGAACCCGGGTTTCTAAACTGTGTCTGTGACTGACTGCATGGTCGACGCTTTCCTTTTGAAGCAACTCCCCCGAGCTTCATTGAGCAACTCGGCAATTCCCGCATAAATCATGGTCAACGCAGGTACGTGTAGGTGTGTATACATTTAAATATTTGTATGATTATGCTTGTACAAATACAAATATACATACATACGTACACGTGCATAGATATAACAAGATGACGTGCAAAGTCAAACAAGAGCAGCCCTGAGCCTCGCGTACAGTCTGAGTAGCAGCTGCGCCGCTAGGCCTGAGTGTTGCAATCGATGGATGTGCCTTACCGATTGTCGGGCTTCGTTCATGAGCAAGACCAAAGGAACCAACAACGTCAACAACAACAGCAGCAACAGCCCCAACAACCACAACTGCGGATAGTTGAGACCTGGGCTACGAAGATCAAGGTCGGAGCAGCAAGCGAGCTGTGCGAGCTGGTCATTTTATGCATGTCTAAACGACAGCATCCGATCATAGACATGAAGACAACCGCATAATGGCAAGCTCTCGGGCAGCAGAAAAAGCTTTCGGGAACATCGCGGAGACGGTGTGCTCTTTGGAGTTCTTGACAAACAGCACACTGCCTGAGACAATCTCCGGATGTGGCGGGGAGGGCCCCCCTTCCTCCCCCAATAAATCGCTTTAACGCACGCCTTCATGGAAGGGGGCCAAAATCTTTCTTACAGGAGAGGGGGGTAGCACACCCTGGCCACCACGCAGCCTGTTAACTAATTGATTTTCATACCACTTACGGCTCCGGGTCGCTTGGTGACACACGTGTTTGTAAACGACAACTCCCACAAGGTCCAAAGAGCCAGCTTTCGTGACTTCTACTGCTACTCCCTACCACTTGTTTCTCCTACCACCACTGCCACTATTGCTACTACCACCACTGCTACCACTACTACTACGACGACTAACACTACTACTGCTAGACCGCTACTAGTGCTACTACTGCTACTACTACTACTACTACTACTACTCCTACTACTCCTGCTACTGCTGCTACTACTACTACTACTACTCCTACTCCTACTCCTACTCCTACTCCTACTCCTGCTGCTGCTACTGCTGCTACGACACAACTGCTGCTACTGCTACTGCTACTGCTACTGCCACTGCCACTGCCACTGCCACTGCCACTGCCACTGCCACTGCCACTGCCACTGCTACTGCTACTACTACTACTACTACCACTACTACTACTACTACTACTGCTACTACCCCTGCTACTGCTACTGCTACTGCTACTGCTGCTGCTACTGCTACTGCTACTACTACTACTACTACTACTACTACTACTGCTGCTACTACTAGTGCTACTACTACTACTGCTACTACTACTACTACTACTACCACGACTACGTCCTGCTCCTGCTCCTCTCCTGCTCTTGCTCCTCCTGCAGCTACTGCTACTGCTACCACCGGCGCTCCTGCTGCCACTGGACCTGCTACTGATGCTGCCACATACTGCTGCTACTGCTACTTCTACTGCCACTGCTGCCATTGTTGGAGCTAGTCTGCCACTACAACCACTACCATGACTACTGCCGCCGCCACCACCGCCACCACTGCTGCTGTGCTGACTGCTGCTCTCACTTTGTTTTTTTATCCTCTGCAGAACTACATGTCGCTTGCTGCTCGTGCTTCTTACCGCTGCACGTCGTGGTTACGCAGAACAGTCACGATCTTTCAGCACATGGACCCTGTGGCGAGCACATCAAGCGTGCTGCTGAACGAGGCCCCCACGAGGCAGTGACCACTGGCATTGGTGAGCCATTCGCGACCTGAAATACCACGAGCTAGGTTCGCTATATGGCTAGATTGGGTTGAGGGCGTGACTCTCGGATTGCTTTGGCACCCACAAAAATCCAGTGCATTTTCACGGAATCGCAAGGTCTTCTTTAGTGCATTGCATGATTTGCCCTCGCAGCCTGTGCTGTCCCAACTTCCTCTTGGTCATCGTCGTCGCTGCTTTCTTCCTCACGGAGGATGGACGTCTGTGAGGCTGGAAGCGTAATTGCCGCTGGCTGCTGCGTTATTGCAGAACATGCACACCCGTGCCTGCTAATCAAGTAAAACGGCTACATAGTGTGCGAGTGAAGGTGGGGTACGACTGCAGAGTACCAAAAGCCACAGTCCGCGCAAAGCGCCTCTACCATGGGAGGACTCTCCCAGCTTACTGTGTGTGCCCCTTCCTGAAGGTGCCCCTCCTCTTCCTCACCCTCGGGCTGCTCATAGTCGCCATCGCTGTCGCTGTCCTCTCTCGGAGACAAAGTGTCCAATGCAACATGGTGTTGGGGCAACTAGGATCGCCTGAACTTTCCCCCCCAAACTCATAGCAATTCCATCGCCTCTGAGATGGCGGAGGAGTCCGAGGAATCCGAATCGTCCGAATCATCGGAGGAATCGGAACCGAAAGGCGTAATGACCGGCCTGGCGGGGATTACGCTCTCGCAACTCGGACAAGCCTGACGAGGTCTCTGGTGCTGTGTACTTTGAGGGGATTGATATTTTGCTCGCGTGCCATTACCAAGTTGTTCAGAGATGTGGTACGTTTGGGGACACTGTTAGGTCGAAGTAGGATGTTTGGGCCGGAACTTTTTGAGATTTCATATGGTTAAGAGCTGAGGAGGGGCCGACTTCCACTGCTTCTGCATACGATGCGCTGTTGCTCGGGCCAGAGGCCAGGTAACAGCACGGCAATACGCTCGCTCCCTTCCCTTCCACTCTGGGTTTTGTGCAGCTTACCCAGGGTTCTCAATACTTGTGACGGTAAGATTGCTCATCGTTTTGCAGGTAGCAGCACTGTAGCACGATCAACACCGAACATGCTACGATCATCGCCTAGCATGTCAGCACCAGCATTAGGAATAAAATCTTCCCACTGTTCTGCTGCTAGTTTGCTACATTCGGGATGGTGGTGATGATGGTGGTGGCAGTCATTGTCTCTTTGTATCTTGTTCTCTTCTTGCTCAAGCTCGGAGGCCATGATAAGTCTCAGCGCCACACCCGTTGAAAGCTGCATCGTCGTCTCCTCCCACCTGAATGACGAGATGACATCCTTCCAAGCCCAAGTTTCTTGCCACCTCTCTGTAGCCAGGCACCGAAGCAAAGCCTTCTCGGCAGGCGCACGGCTCAGTGCCATGTCAATCTCGACTTGCTGACATGCCAGGAAATTAACACCCTCAAACAATCTACTAATGCTCTTACCAAGCCCTCCAAGATATATCCACTTTACAATCCTCCGCAGGCAAGGCCAACATCCAAGCCTCCTCCACAGTGGGCCCACGGACCTGTCACAATGCAAAGCGCTTCCGGTCTGGCTTGTCCACGCTACAGGGCTCCTCCTTCTCAGCTTCAGCTTCGGCTTGACTGGCCTGGCTTATGCTGTGAGGTTGAACCCGCTCCTACACCTTGCGCATGGGAGTTTCAGGAAACAAAGGATCCTATAGTTATTCCAATTTACGGTTTCGTTCTACGGACCTCATCAGGTTATCAAGGGAACCCCGAGTTTTCCCACACTCCTCGGGCCGTCATCTGGGGCGGGGCTTCCAGGTCCGGGCCTGCTCCGGAGCATCTGTAGCAGTCGGAGTCCTTGCTAATAAGGTTCAGTGTCGAGGGAGGGGCCCTTAACTCTAAACCCTCTAAGGCCCAACGGGCTACCGACGATGAACCGTTCGCGCGTCTGTCTCAGCGAAAGAAGAGGTGCAGCAAAGACAGAGCAGCCTTTGAAGTCTCAACTGTTCGGTTTCGAGGGTTTTGCTGTCCTTGCTGGCGCTTTGTTTGCCGCGGCTGTTTGTCACCTGGCTTCCCCAAACCTTTTGCAGGGGCACAACTTGTTGGGGGAGAGGGTCACTCCCTCTCCTTCTAGCGGAAGAAAGGGAGAGACGTAGAAGTTTGATTGGGCAAACAAACATAGAAGTTTGTTTGTGTTTCGCTGACTTAAGCCTCAGAATGCCCCTTTCAGTCAGTGCTGCCTTTTGTGACCGTGGAGCGGTCGACTTACGCTGTAGTGAATCGTCCTCCAAGCCTCTAACCTTACCACTTTGGCGTAAACTCGCTGTTCTGAAGAACATCCACTGCAGCATTGAACCCTGTCCAGCCATACACACACAGGCTAATGGTTGTGCATGTTAGTTCCGGGGGGACAGTCACCATGAACTATGGACGTTTTGTGATTGTATGCTGTGTGTCATGCGTGTTGTGTGGCTTACGTTGCAAGCCGAGACTGCGCATCCGGACATACTTGCTCCGCCTAGCATTTCAAGCCTGTGGTGGCCAGTGCAAGGGAGTCGATGTGTGCTAATTAG